GCATGCTAATCTCACCTTGTCTGTCCAGGCTTCGCTTCGTAGGGATAGGGTTGTGCGTATCACTCACATTTATAGGGATGCCAACTTTCTGGCCGACTGCGTAGCTCACAAGGGGCACTCTTTGACCCCGGGATTTCACTATGTTTCTATTTCTGACTCGGATGTTTACCATTGGACCTGTTTGACTTTGTTGGCGGTTTTAGCATTCGTTCGATTTATGAATAAGAGGTAGAGGTGCCTTGCACCCGTTTTCATAAAAAAAAGCAAGAAAGATAAACCAAATAGAAATATTTTATCTTATTATCTTATATTAGAATACACATTTTATTAATCCCACCATTTCTTAATGCACATAAAAGGGACAATAATAGAATCATTCCTTTTAATAATTCCTGCCAATGATTCATAAAAAGACCCGCCCATACTTTTCGATAGAAGACCCGCCAATTAGTCATCCAAAATACCCACCATGCTTTTTTATAAAAGACCCGCCAATGTTTCCTTTATTTCCCGAGCTTTGGCCAATTTTATATGCGTGACTGCCGGGAGCATGCCGAAGCCAAGCATCCTAAATCTCATGATATGATCCCAAAAGGATCAATCCTTGAATCAAAATTGAATGCCAAAGGTGCTATGTTGAGTTGTAAGAAAGAACCTAAAAATTGATTTAAGATATTTTCTATTTCAGGTATCTTACTTTGCACGACTGATTTTATCGATTGGCTCAATGGAAATAAGGGGTTAAGGTCTCATTGTGAAGCTGAAGTGTTGGTCTATCCATTGAAGTGCTTGAGAGGTCCAGGAGAAGCCAAAAAGGGTGTTTTCCAAGCTCTCCAAAAGTGTATGATAAAACCGTAAAGCTGCCAGAATCTGGCTAAGGCATGGAACAATTTCGGTGAGGTCACTTTGGAGCTCAATCCGAAGAGTTTGAGTAAGAGTCGAGCTTCAAGGTTCATACCACATGAGAGCATGCATCTTCTACTACAAAGATGTGGCATTGGATGACTGGAATGAAGACTGGAAGGCCTCGAACTAAAGCTTCAAAGATCGTACCGAAGCTGAGTTTCCGTCTTTGGAACCAGGAAATCTGAATCCTTATCGGATTAGGATTCCTTTGTTGTTTTGTGTTTAATTCCTTTTCATTGTTGGTTTTGATTTCCTTCTCCAATTGTAATATGTTTAGGACTTCTCTAAGAGTAGTAGGATTAGTTAGGTCTATTTAAGTAGCTTTAATTCGTTGTAATTTTCAGATTTCATTAAATTGAATAACAAACCGAGAGTTTGCGTTCATAAGGTTTTGTCTTGTGAATTGAGAGATAAACCTAACCGAATCTATGTCTGGTCTTGAGCTTGTATCGTTCAAATACTCACCTTGTTCGTGGCCAAGCATCGACGACACCAATCGAGCCTCTTTCCCATCGTGAAAGTTGCACGAAAGATTCCATCCCAATCACGAACACAAGACTCTGTTTTTGTGTTCTTTCTCACCGAAATTCAATTCAATCTTTAATTGAATCCGAGCTGCGCTTCTCTGATGAAAACCACCTGCTTAGGGGGTTATCATCTCATGTCTACACTTGTTTCCCATATCTCTCCACCAAGTAATACTGAAATAACAACAAATCCACAAGTGGGAAAAGACTTGGAGAGCGAGAGATGCGATATGAATGAGGCATGTCGATCTATATCAGCCTACTGCGAACATGCAAAATGGCCACCCATCTACTCTTCCGTTGCTTCTCTCTCGTGATTGATCTACTTTAATGAAAACCCAACGTTGCAAGCAAGCACAAGATTCCCAGAAACAGAAGAAAAAACCGCTTATGAATCTAGACAAAGAATGGAATTGACCCAAGGAGCAGCACCAAGTTACCAGAAAGCACTGCTATTCTCTGCTATTCCTGAGGTGGATGGATTTGTGTGTGGGGGTTCAGCATGGTCACAAATCGTACAAATGCATAAACCAGCAACTTTTTTGTGTCCGCATTCGGCTATTCTCTGCTGCTCTCACTTTATGGAAATAGGGATGAGCCTGGAAATGGAAAGGGCAGTTGCAACTTATAAAAAGGTCCAAACAACTAAACTAAAAGCACAACAAGGAGGAAAACATGCCAAGTTGATGGTGAAAACTGAAAACAAGACCCTAGCTAGCTGTCTTGTCTTCTCTTTACTTTCTAAGACATCTCTCGATTGGGCGGGAATGGAGTGGCCAAAGCGCTTATTGAGGAGAAACGAATCCATCACAGCGAAGCAGCTTGTCAAGAAAATCAATGGCCTGTTAGTGGGGAAATGGAGACAGTTCATGAAACATTAACCAGCATTACAAGTAAGATGATGGTTATAAGAAGTTGAAATTTGAGGAAAAGAAGTGGGGAAAATCCGGACATCTGAAGACAAAGGGGCCATCAAAAGACTTGCCTCTGGAGAAAATAGATGTTTGTGATCAGGATTGATGAATCTGGACCACGGTTTCCTGTTGTGCCTGCAAAGATTTGGGAATCAAAATTAAGTGTCATGATCTAATCCTCAGTGAAGGAAACTCTACAGCAATCAACATTTATCATTTCATGCTTGTAAGAAAACAAAAGGGGTGATAAATATTGTGGCTGTACTTCCTTCACAATCTAGAAGTTAATAATTGACCTTATCAGTACTTGAAAGAGCATGTTAACAAAACCTTGACTACCTGCCAACAAGGGCTTCAAGGTGGAGATCCAGCTCCAAGTTATACTTGTTTAAATATGCATATAATTCATCTGTACCAAGAACCTGAAGAAAAATATGCAGATAAGAGAATACATATTCCGCCTTTCTGCAAACGCATGTGTGTTGAATCGAACTCTTATTATTTTACACGATGTCATTTACACTGCTAGACACCAAAGGTTCACATAAGACACCGTGGGATGTTTAGCTTCCAGATTTTGGCAGCATTAAGAAAAAAACAAAGCAGCTTCTGGGACCAATTACATTGTTTCTGCATAGCATCAAAGAAACTCAATGCTGGAGCAAATATTACCATTGACACGGGCGTCACCTTTTCAAAGAAGCACACAAATGTGAAGTTAAGTGCTAAGTTGGTTACATAGCTTTAAAACTCCAACTGTATCATATTTCACGAGTTAAATAAAAGTTAATGAAAGAACCATCCGGTCGGTTAAGAAACTGTTAGATCACTTTGACAAATCATGTTTACCTTGGCAATTTTTCCAAGCTGGTTGGAATGGTCGCGACCATAAAAAAAAATGTTTCCTTCCTCAAAATCTGCAGGCCGAAAAGACAATGAAAAGACTAGGTGAGTTGTCATGACTAGTAATAACACTAGGAGTTGCGGTAGTAAAAACCAGAATCATTTAATAATGAGGAAAAGAACTAGCAAAATAAATAGAAAGAGAAGGGAATATTGGTCCACTGATGCTCAGTTCGTTTTTGCTTGCAACATGGTAAACACACAAGTTACGGTAAATCTCAACAACTCTTCAAGGTAAAACGGAAGTAAGTATGAAATGTTTGCAACGGCTTGGACACCAACGTTATATTTTATCATTGCAATGATTTTGCTTGATGGAAATACCAATCGGGATCAGTTACAGAATCCAAAAGTAACTCTGGTTGTAGGATAAAAATTATAACAAGAAAATGAGATCAAGTGTATGAAACTTCAAAGTAAGATCCAGAAGATTGTGAAATCTACTAGCAGGGAAGGCGCTCACAAGCAGATCTAGAGCATTAGAACTCATCGAGTCAGAGTAATGGTCCCTACTTCCCCAGGAAGACATAGAGTACACTTGTTGTGTAAAAAACAGAGTGATTACAAACTTCTCATCAAAACGATAAGGCAAAAGACCCTACTACTATAAACGATCACTCGCTTTCATCTAAGGAAATACTAGAAGATAAAGTCTGGTTCTTGAAGTCTTAATAAGTCTAATACACATACCGAGAAGCTACTCTGACATCATATTCTTTGGCAGGGTGGTAAAACTCCTTCAACCCCCAGGCTATCAACCGTAATTTGCGCAGCTCATGGTCAATCATCACATTGTGCGGTTTAACATCTCTATGCATTATGCTCTGCGATTGTGAATGGCAGTAGTCTAGCGCCTGAACAACACACATGAACTCTCCAAGTAAAAAAAGAAGTCAAATATGAAAATGAGATAGGTAAATCATCATCTTTGCTGCAGATAGGTAAAAAAGCGAGATCGTTGCATATAAACAACCTTAAGAAGCTCATACATGTAGTATCGAATTTCATAGTCCGTGAATGTTGGGTACAGAACTTTAATATATGTACTGTACACATACTAAAAAATCAGGCTCGGAGTTTTTGGGTGTGATCCCTGACTATATCGAGCAGCTTCACTATGTTCTGCCTTCCACAAAGGTTCTGCAGCATCCTAATCTCTCTTAATCTACATGACCAGCATTAAGTAACTATAAACCGCCTCAAACATGACTCGCTAAGTATAGACCATTAATGAAAAGTTACCTTCTTTTTCTTGACAGGCTTCAGGATTTTAATAATGCGCTTCTCATTGTTCGTGACATTGATACCTTCAAAGACCTCGCTGTATTTCCCCCTCCCAAACTTCCTGACAACCTCACAGTCATTCTGATCACTGTTCATTGAGGTCCAATAAGAAAAACAACCAAACGTAAAGAAAAGGAAAATTGAGGCTGTAACCCTAGTTTTTGCTACCATAACATGAAACCAATTGCGGGATTAGAAGAAGCAATGATGAAGCTAAATTGAGAATAGGGTTTTCAAAAGGTATTTGGTTAAATTTCACTAACCCCCACTGAACGGCTCAGAACTCCCGAGGACGATGAACGTTGATGTCAGCGTAAACTGGAGCTCTTTACATGTTTGCCGGCGGTTGAAGCTAATCTACCTTTCTCTCCCTGGGTTGCTCTTCGAAAGAATAATCGTCGCCGGAGACAGAATGAAAGAACGGGCTAAATTTTTTTTGGCGGAAACCCAAAAAGTAATACAGAACATAAAATGGGTTAGTTCGATAAGTGGTCCCCTGAATTTTAGGATATTGACGATTTGGTTCATAAACTTCGAATAGTGAAACGAATGATGGAAGGAGTTTAAATACCGTAGTTACGCAATGAACATTAAATTAAGGGCTGTATCTAAAGTAAGATCCGGTTTTTAGGCAAAGCGGAGAACATGTATATACTATGTATTCAACTCTTGGTCCTCAGTCATCAGCACAACATCTGTACAGTAATAAGCAGTCTGTTCAAGCAACTACTACTTTCTCTCCCTGGGTTGAAGCTAATGGTACTCTTACCGGGAATTTACAATCTAACGAGCTCAGTAGAGCAGTGTGTTCAAAGACCAACGGAAAACAACAACTACTCTATAAGTACAATCAACAAACTGTGTTCTGCAACCAAATTATCCCCAACTGAATTCATGGTGGCTGGTTTGGATCTGCAGCAGGTCCTATCATTCTGGTGGTGGATTGGACTGGATTTTCTCGTACAGCCTATACATCAGAGTCGACTTTGACAGCACTGGGCCTCTCGTTCCATCCTCCAATCATGTCCACGTCCTTGATGGTTAAACTCCGTACCTCCATAAGCTGTGCTCCGGCAACCTGGCTCCTCCCAAATTTCTTACCACCAACTGAACCAGATCAAGAAGGGCAAAAATAAGAACACAAACAAGTCCAGCATAACAAAATGGGTAGTCACATGGATTAAACGTTATGGCATGCAAGGAGAACCTTTTTCCTCAAACATACAGGATCCTGAACCAAAGCGCTTTGTTGTTCCATCTTGAACGCCATTCCTTCCACAGAACGACTGGGGCTTGCAGCTCCCATCTTTATTTGCTGATTGTGGAGAAAAGGCGGTTTCATGACCACCTTCTCTATTCTGACGGGCTTGCAAGATTAGCTTCCATTTCGACATCAAGTCGTCTCCCCCAACAGCAGCCCTGGCTGCCATCATGTTTGCTGCCCTTGTTCTCATCTTGACATCCTCCTCTTTGCTCAACTGTGCAGTTTGGGTAAATATTGGAATACTGTGTTTCTGTTGTATATTTCAGATTCAGAGTTTACTGAATGACTTTCAAAGATTGTTGAAAAGGTCCTGAGTTACCTTGGGTGCTTTTCCTCTCCCACCTTCCGTTTCCTTGTCGCCTTCTGCTCCATTACCAGTGTCAGGCTGCACCCACATATCAAGCAAGGAAATGCATCATTGTGTGCGTAACTCGAATGGCTATAGCTCTGAGAATACAATGCTATCTCAAAGGGACAAAGTCAGAAATAAAATTTCTTTGATTGAGGAGGCTATTACTTCAATGATTTGTGAGACTAATGATGAAAAGTAGTTCTAAAATATTTGAGTTAAGAAGTGTGCTTCATTGAGCCTTTAACTCAAAATTTATTTAAGTTCCTTATTTTTTAGACCAAACAAGCATACCCTAAGTTGCTGTAGAACTCTGATAAAAAAAAAAGTTGCTGTAGAACCAGTTCGAGAATACCACAACACAAGAAATGGAGGAAGACCTACTTCATTTACTCGCCGGAGCTCTGCTTCAGCCAGCTTTCTGTCCCATTCATCCTTAGCTTTCTGGTTCATTACCACAAGTTGTTGTCTAACATCAGAGGTAACCACAGTCTTGTGCCTGGCTTTCTCTAAATCAATCCTCTGCAGGATGCAATCAGAATGAGGAAACGTGCAGCAAAATCACAATACCAATGGAATTTCGAAGCAGAAATAACACAAATTGGAATGGGAGAACAAGTATAAATTAGCAAAGGTTACAAGGAACTGACCTGTTTCGACATTCTGATCATGTTACTTATCAAACTCCGCACTCTCTCCTCCACGCTCTAAAAAAACATCTATTAGAAAATGTCTAATATTTTTTAAGTGAAGACGGGATAAAATATTTTGCTTCTCACCAAGGACAAGCATTTCTCTACATCATTGCTAGCATTCTTCAGACCACACTTGGACACTGCATGGACATGCAAAGTACAAGTACATTAACATTACATAATTGACACTATTATCTCCTTCACAAACAAAGTACAAGTTAATGAAAGGAAGATTTAACTGATCTCCGCCACTTTTTTCTGAAGAGGAGTTTTCTGCAGAATCAGCCTCTCCTCGTCTTCTTGTACAGCTCTTCTAGATGCTTTGGAGACCCGACTGTCCTCCTTGTTTGTGGAGAACAACTGTTCTTCCTCTTTCTGTAAACAAATACTGAGAAAAAGTAAGTAAGCAAGGAACAAACACGAGACAAGGATTTTACGTGGTTCGGTCTCTCGGTGTGAGAGACTTACATCCACAGAACACGAACTGCTTTTCTTATTATGTTATGGCCAATGGCCTTACAACCCACATATTTATAGCCCTATCATCAAGTAACTTTAGGGCTTTACAAGGAGGAGAAGGAAGACTACTCCTTCTCGTACAAGGAGAACTTGGATCCTTGTCCAAGTCTTCTACTGATCTCTCGGCCATGGATGGAAAGGAAACATGGTGGGCCTGTACGTGGCCCAATACGCCCCCGCAAGCTGAACTGTGCAGGTCACGAACATTCAGCTTGGATAACAGGAGCCGAAACCGATCGGCGCCCAACCCTTTGGTGAAGATATCGGCCACTTGCAGCTGGGAACTGATTTTGCAGGGCAAGATATCATGAGAGACAACCCGTTCACGAACAAAATAACAATCCATTTCAACGTGCTTAGTGCGCTCGTGGAAAACAGGATTGGCGGCGATGTGAAGAGCAGCCTGATTGTCACAAAACAACGGAGTAGGACGGGACTGGGTAACTCCAAGTTCACTGAGCAACCAACGGAGCCAGATAAGTTCACTGACAGTACTGGCCATGGCTCGATATTCGGCTTCAGCGGAAGAGCGAGCAACAACCTTCTGTTTCTTAGTACGCCACGAGACGGGAGCATTACCGAGGCGAATGAAAAAACCACTGGTGGACCGGCGAGTACTCTCGCAACCGGCCCAATCTGCATCACAGTACCCAACAAGATCAAGGGAACCATCTGCTGGGAAATAAAGACCCTGACCAGGCGCCTGTTTGAGATAGCGCAAAATACGGTGAGCAGCATCCATGTGAGCCTGGGTGGGGGCATGCACAAACTGACTGAGGATGTTGACACCGGAGGTGATGTCTGGACGAGTGACTGTCAAATAGAGTAGACGACCGACTAAACGTCGATAGGCGGAACCATCCGCAAGGGGAGCAGCGGAAACTCGTGTTAGGTGATGATTTTGCTCGACAGGGAACTTACTGGGTCGAGCTCCTTGAATACCCGTTTCTTCAAGAATATCCAGGGTATACTTACGCTGACTGAGAACAATCCCACGAGGAGAATGAGCAACCTCAATGCCAAGGAAATAGCGAAGGGGGCCCAAATCCTTGATACTAAAACGACGATCAAGAAATGTCTTGACCCGATTGATGAAGGATAAGTCGTTACCGGCTAGGATCACATCATCAACATATATAAGAGCAGTGACGAACACATTGTCGCGGCGATAGATGAAGAGAGAATGATCGGCAGGGGATGAACGAAAACCAAGTTCACAAAGAGCAGCGGTGAACTTGTGATACCAGTTTCGGGAGGCTTGCTTGAGCCCGTAAATAGACTTGTGAAGACGACAGACTCTGGTATCCCCTTTCTCAGCGAAGCCGGGTGGTATTCTCATATAAACCTCTTCATCGAGATCACCATGCAGAAAAGCATTGTTAACGTCGAGTTGATGGATAAACCACCCACGATTAACGGCAACAGCGATCAAGCAACGAACAGTGACAAGCTTGGCAACTGGAGCAAAAGTATCGTGGTAATCAACCCCTTCGATTTGAGTGTAACCTTTTGCAACGAGTCGAGCTTTATAACGCTCAATGGTGCCATCGGGGTAGTATTTTATCTTGAAAACCCATTTAGCCTCAATTATACGACGGCCCGGTGGAGGTTGCACAAGGCTCCACGTGCCGGTTTGGACTAAGGCAGCGATCTCGCGAATCATAGCTTCCCGCCAGTGGGCATGGCGGACAGCTTCATTGAAGTTCCGCGGAAGATCATGACTGGTGACAGAGGCCAAAAAGGAACGGTACTCTGGTGTAGTGCGACCATAGCTAACGTGAGCTGACAGTGGGTACCGGACAGAATCAGCTGCATAAACTGTGGTGTCATAGTCGGCCAAATGTTTGGGACGACTGCGAACACGATCTCCGCGTCAAGGAGGAGCAGGCGCGGGGGCTTCATGCTGTGGCTCGACTGGGGACGACGGCCCAGAGGACGAGGGCGAATGGTGGCCTGGACTGACAGAGGACGGGCCGGACTGTGACTGAACGGGCGAGACGGGCCCTGGTGACGAGACGGGCCCAGGCGGTGAGGCGAGCCCAGGCGAGGCGGGTCCTGAGGATGATGGGCCGGTCAACAGCGGGCCCTCTCCTACAGGTGGAGTAGATGATCCGTCCGATGGGCCGCCAGACTGAAGTGGGTCGGACTGAGCAAAAGTGACAGGGATGTCCTCTACTGGAAAAACAAAGTTCTCAGGAGGAACCCAATGCAGACTCTGTTGATCAGAAGAACGAAATGGGTAGTGATCTTCAACAAATATCACATCTCGAGAGACAAACACTTTCTGAGAGACTAGATCATAAAGGCGATAGCCTTTCTGGTTTGAGGGGTAGCCTAAGAACACACAGGCACGCCCCCGGTCAGCGAATTTTTGCAGGCCACGATGAGTATCCTTGGCATATACCAAACATCCAAATATGCGAAGGTGCTGATAAGTAGCTGGCTTTTGGAAAAGCAACTCAAACGGGGTCTTCCCAGTGGCAGCGGTGGGGAGACGATTGATTAAGTAAACTGCGGTCATAACACACTCTCCCCAGAACCTGATAGGCAATCCTGCGTGAAAACGAAGAGCTCGGGCAGTGTCAAGGATGTGCCTATGCTTGCGCTCGACCACGCCATTTTGCTGGGGAGTATCCGTGCAGCTGGTCTGAAAATGAATTCCATGTTGGGCATAGAAGTCACGCAGAGGAGCAGATTGAAATTCTGTTCCGTTGTCTGTCTGAATACGTCGTACCTGACGTTTAAACTGTGTACGAACCATCTCAAGAAACATGAGCAGATACTTAGCAACATCTGACTTAAAACGGAGTAAGAACACACATACTGCTCTACTGAAATCATCAACAACGGTAAGGAAATAATGCGCACCACTCAGAGATGGAATATTATAACCTCCCCATAAATCAAGATGTATAAGCTCAAAACAATCCGTCGTTTTAATCGAACTAGAAGGAAACACTGTTCGGGTTTGCTTGGCACGAGAGCATGAATGACAAAATTCTTCACTAACATGTAACCGAGGAGACAAAAGACTAGCAAGCTGAATCATCTTTGCCGAAGATGGGTGACCCAACCTTGAGTGCCAAGCTCTGGCCGACACTTCACTCCCACCGGCTGCGGCAAAAGAATGATGCTCGAAAAGACGTAGGAAGTATAGTCCATCACGGAGAATCCCCTTCCCAATCACGCTCCTGGATTGTAAGTCCTGGAGAATACAGAAATCACGGAGGAAAATCAAAGCCACATTGTTCTCCTTTGTTAGACGACTGACAGATAAGAGATTGCAACGAAACTGAGGCACATGAAGGACCCTGTCCAACTTTAAACCAGATGACAATCGTATAGAACCAATTTTGGAGACGGGAACACTAGTTCCATTTGGTATTTTAACCGGCCTGCTAGAAGAATCACAAATAACCTCATGCAACATAGAATCATCATATACGATGTGCTCATTACAACCGGAGTCGATTAACCATTCCGAACTGGGTAAACTCATACCTGCCATGTGCGACGAGGGGATCTCAACAGGTGCCGAATTCGAGTTGCTGGGTTGTGAGAAGAAAAGTTTTAGTTGTTCCAGCTGCTGCATCGTGAAACCGGGAACAGGACTGTCTGCTTCAACCTGCAAAGCTCTGGGCGGAGGACCATCTCCTGGGTTTCTGCGGCGACGTTCTCGATCCCTAGAGTTGGTTCCCGCAGCACCTGACTTGTCGCGACTGTCACGCCTGTCGCGCCCTTCTCGTCCCTCTCTATTCGGCCAGCCTATGAGATCAAAGCACGTTTCTTTTACGTGACCATTCTTGCCACAGTGGGTACACCTTGACTTAGCCCTTTCGCGACCGTACGAGGTGCGTTCAGCCGAATCATCTCCATCTCTTCGACTGTTAAAAGCAGCGGCTTCAAGCTGAGGTTTTCTTTTCTGAGTGATCAGCCGCTGTTGTTCGTCTGAAGAGACGATGTTAAAAGCTTCGGTCAGACTCGGTGGAGGCTTCATGGTGAGGACTTGGGTTCGTACCGTGGCGAAACTATCGTCGAGTCCCATTAGGAAATCAAAGAGGCGATTGCTGTCATCTCTCTCTTTGGTTCGACGCTCTAGTCCACAAGTGCATAAACCACAGCTGCACTTGGGTGATGGAGAAATCGACTGTGACTCCTCCCAATAGGAACGCAAACGCGTGTAGAATGAGGATACACTCAGTTTTTCTTGCTGCAGCATACTGACAAGGCGTCGGATTTCGTATGCCCGTGAAGCGCTCCCCTGTCCGAATCGGTCACGCAGATCGATCCAGATTTCTTGCGCGGTTCTGGCATACCGAACGCTGGCACGTACCTCTTTATCCATGGCTGTACGCAGCCATCCCTTGACGATGGCGTCGCATCGGGTCCACGCCCGGAGCTCTGGATCAGCAGAGGGTTTGGGAATACTCCCATCAACAAACCCGTACTTGTTTTTGATAATGAGAGAATCAGTCATCTCAATAACCCATTCTCCATAGTTGTTTGAGTTTAGGACATCTCCAACCTGCAATTGGCTTGCAGTCTCAGACGGATGGAGATACAATGGTGATGAAGGATCCTGATCTTTGTTGGGGGGAACAAAGAATTTCTTCTCTTCTTCACCGCTCATAGCAAACGAACTGGACGACGATTTCTTCTCCTCGCCGTCGCTCATAATGACTGGTTGACTGGATCAGCGACGCTCTGATACCATGAGAAAAAGTAAGTAAGCAAGGAACAAACACGAGACAAGGATTTTACGTGGTTCGGTCTCTCGGTGTGAGAGACTTACATCCACAGAACACGAACTGCTTTTCTTATTATGTTATGGCCAATGGCCTTACAACCCACATATTTATAGCCCTATCATCAAGTAACTTTAGGGCTTTACAAGGAGGAGAAGGAAGACTACTCCTTCTCGTACAAGGAGAACTTGGATCCTTGTCCAAGTCTTCTACTGATCTCTCGGCCATGGATGGAAAGGAAACATGGTGGGCCTGTACGTGGCCCAATAAATACGCAAGGAACATTGCAACATCAGTTCTTTCCCCTTCTCTCAGAGTGGGGGGTTCAGGTTCTTTAGTAATCTGATATTACTCGTTACTCATTGGTCAAGCTTAATAATCGAGGAATATATTTACCTGAAGATTAACTCCACTGACAGCAGTGACATCATTCAGTTGGTCAATGCTTTTATCTGAAAGAGCCCCAGAAACCTTCTGCTTCTTACTGTACAAGAAAAATACAGAGAGGTGGTTACTCAACCAAGTAGGCAACTATTTTGGGTACACTGATCCATGAAACGTTTTAGGATTGAAGAATACAAGAATATGTGCTGCAAATACAAACTACAACATCAATGGTAGTAGCAAACTGACGCAGGGAGAAAGGCAGTAAAGGGACCAAAGCTGTTTGGGCTCAAGAACGCAAGCTTCGTAGTCCAAGGACTCTAGAGAAACTCCCCTCCATAATAATTCAATACTGAGAATAACCTATCGAAAACGAGACGTGTTTCTTGCGGGGGGGAAATCCTTTTCATAAGGAGAACTAAAATCTCATCAAAATAGGAAAGAGATAAACCTTTGCATTAGAATCCAATTAGGAATAGGAAGCTTTGGTGGAACGATTATGATGCCTCATCACAAACTTGAATATTTACCTTGCAGGAGCCGGAGAAGATCCAACTGCTTCAAGTTGCTTTTTCTGCCCGAAGGAGGGTTTCTTTGGAGGTGCTTCTTGAACAGCATTCTTCTTACCAAAATCTACTGCATCCCCATTAACAGACTCCATGGACGCTATCTTCCAAGGGAAATGACCAAAACCATCCGCACTCCAAAGCACCGTCAAGCTTCTGTAGCATGGACCTCCAGGGTCCCAAGTCTCCAGATCAAGCAACAAAATCCAGGCTAATGATCTACATGCGTAACTGGTAAAGATGTGGCCCAAGTCTCCAAAAAGTTACATTCCATGCATTAAGACCGAAACCAGAATTAAACTACTGAACTCACCTGGAAAAAGGAAGAACGGGAACACCAAGCAGTTCTTGGCCCCGTCGATTTCCGGCGGCCGCCATCGCCTGAGAAAATTTAGAAGTTCAGTATTCAGAAGGAAACTCAGATAACCAATTCTCCTCTAAATCTAACCCTAAACCCCAAAATTCTACTCTGAAACATCACCTGAAAGATGAGCGGCGGCGGTATGCTAATGACCCCGTTCCTTCTTGTGGACGTCCAGCTGGGGTTTTTTCTTGAAGGCATGGCCGCATTTGCCACACCTCTCAGGGTAATTGTGGTGTACATCATGCACATGGTGTTGCAGACCATTAAGATTCGCCCCTCTAAAACGAGTGCAGACGTTGCACGCGAAGACGGGAGCGGCGGGAATCGCTTGTGCGGCCTGCGGCGGAGCTCCCTCCGGCAACGCATTTTCCATGAAGATTTCTGTTTACTCGTTCTTGAGCTTCGTTCTTCTCCTCTCTCTTCCTTGCTTCACTTCTTCTGGTTTCCCGCTTTTCTTTCTCTCTCTTAGCAGTTACGACTAAACAACCTTCTAATCGTCTTTTATAGAAACCATTAATGCAGGACGAAGAAGAGTTTAGAGCTGGAGATTGCGATGACGTGTCAACAAATGGGCCCGGTCCAGTGGGCACTTTTCGAACCGGCCTTGCAACTCAGCGGCCCACGCTGAAACTTATGCTCCACGCTTCGCCATTCACATTTCGTTTTATTTTTTATTATTGATTCATTTTGGGATAGGCTTCATTTTGAATGGCTTTAATCCTCCAATCCTTTTTAGTTCGAATTAGTATTGGGATTAGAATTTTCTATTAAATGTGTTGGTCAATGACAAAAGAGAGGAGTTTGTTATTGGAGACCTAATTTTTGGTTTGCATATGTTGAATTTACCAATCTTAATTTTTATTCTTAAACAATCAAGGCATTTGTTCAAATTTCACATAAAAATCTATGATTTTTAATTGAGAGATTTGGGTATATCGAATGTTGTCAGAACCGGACCGCATGTTGAACCAAAATAGTTAGTGGTTCATGATTCAACGGTTAACCATTATAGAACCGTTGGTTAACTGTTGACAGAAACTTTCATGCTTTGTAACATCAAAGATATATCAAATACACTAACTTTGGGAAAAATTTATCACCAACAATGAATAAGTTCAAATTTATATCATCTATAACCAAAAAGTTCTAAGAAAGTATTCAAACTATCTTACAAAAAAATCAATTTTTTTTAATTCAACTTAGTAATCAGGATGACAAACCGTAGTGAACCATATAAAAATGACAAGAAAGTTGAGAAAGGATGAAAATGGAGCATAAATAACATGGTACATACAATTTATTAGTCAAACCTTTCAAACTTTTTAAATTGTTAGCCAAATCTTTCTAAATTATAAGAAAGTAGTACAACTCTCAAACTTATTCTCCACAGTTCCCATTCATATTAATTAACTAGTGGCCGACTGCCCCCATAGCTCATTCGATGCCTCCTCCCTCTTAGTATGAAATATGACTCTAAATAACTAAGTTTAGAAACAAGACAAACTTGCTAGCCAATCAAGGCGGTGCCAAACCGACAAGGCAAGCTTGGTACCAAGACATGAAATTTGGCTAAGTATAGAGCCAAAGGGGTACCGAGCTGGCAAGGCAGACTTGGTACCAAAAGATAAGAAATTTGGCTAAGTATGCAGCCAAGGGGATGTCAAACCGGCAAGGCAGGATTGGTACTAAGATGTGAAATTTGGCTAAATATGAAGCCAACAGGGTACCAAGCAAGCAAAGCAGGGCTTGGTACCAAGACACGAACACCAAGAGGGTACCAAGTCGACAAGATGGGTTTGGTAGCCAACCAAGAGGGTACCAAGTTGGCAAGGCGGGCTGGGTACCACAAGATGAAAATTGGCTAAGTATGGAGCCAAGGAGGTACCAAGCCGACAAGGCAGACTTGGTACCAAGATATGAAATTTGACTAAGTATGGATACCAAGCAGGCAATACTGGCTTGGTGGCCAGGCAACAAGGTGCCAAGCCGGGTACCAATTAGAGAGTCATACAGAAACTAAATCTGGATATCAAGCCAGTGGACCATCCCTAGATTATCAAGACCAATTATGGAACCTCAAGTGCGGAGACTTGCTAGCCAATGTACTGTGTTGACAGGGTATCAACTTGATGGGGAATTGGTGTCGAGCCCCTTAGGGGGCCATATGGAGACTAAGCCCCAAGATGGGCTTGGTGGCCCCCTAACGAGATACCAAGTCGGGCAGGCCGGCAAGGTACTAACTTGATGAGATTCTAAAAACTAGGTCTGGAGACCAGGCTGACATGAATGACTTAATAGGAGGGGGTATCAAGCGGTATCAAGCTGACAAGACTGGCTTGATACCAAGATGACAAGTTGGTGCCATAACAAGCTCCCTAAGACTAACTGTAGAGACCTGGTGGGGGAAAAGAGACCAAGTTCTCATCCTGCCTAAGTGGGTAATAAGGCCTAGCTATCAAGACGGTTCCTCGAGGTGGCTAGCAAGATGAGGATGGAGACTAGGCCGAAATGAAGGGGGCTCTCTCATATAATCAAGATGGTAGAGCCCTCAAGACAACAAAAGCGTGGAGTCATCAGGGCTATTGAGGGTGTGATCAAGACTTCACCATGGAGGCTAAAGCAAAAGCTTCCATCCCATCCAAGACAAGGCAACAAGACTCAACGCCAACCTGACCCGCCTCGAGGCTATCAAGTACCAACTAGCACCAAGACGAGACAAGGGGTCCCTAAGGCGGTTGGAGCAACAGGCCAGCTAGCGGTTACCACGGTGGTTACCAAGGCAGTTACATTCGGTGGCTATAAATAGGAGTAACGAAGACTGGAAAAAGGTTCGACAACCAAACACTTGACAACACATGTCAAACTTTACCCTTTCTCTGCAATGTAGCCATAATTGTAGTCTTTAGTTTCTGGAGCTCTCAATGAACCTCCATAGGAATAGAGTTGCTTCTTAGTATTTTCTAGCCATCAAAAACATCAAACACCCTCGTTCGAACATTGTTCAGAGAGGTGTGAACCGTGTTGTTAATCGCTTTTGAAAAATTTAAAAATGCAATCATTAAATTCAAACACCAGAGTTTACTCGCCGGAAAACACTATGTATTCCAATATTCGGACTAGGAAGGTAATTAACTTCGACAATCAAGACACACTCATTTTGTTGGAATACATGTAAGTGTATTACTAACTTGCATTGACTTATCAATCTAGCTTGTTTTAAACACTTCAACCATAGACATGGAATGCATTGAAAAACTCTCTCTCACCTTTCTTTTTTTCTCTGCCTTCTATCTAGGCGACTAACCACTTGACAGCAAGGGGGCTACCGCGCGGCGCCCCTCCGGCGACCGGTGGCAGCCCTCCGACCCTCCGAGTTCTTCCTTTTATCCTTGTTCTTTCTGATTTGCTTCTTCTCCTTCCTTTTCCCCCTGTTTGCCTTTGTATGGTTCAAGTTTCTGCTCTTTTATGGGCTCTTTCCTTTCCTATTTTCTGGGTGCTTTCCTGTCCGGCTGTCCCATTTCTGGGTTCTTTTCACCCCCCTCGGTGGGATGTGCTTTTGGCCTCTGATCTGTTTGTTTCAGACCTAGAGATGGTGACTTATCTAAGATGCGAAGGAGGCTGGATTTGATGTAGATCTAGCTTGTTTTCTCCTCTTCTTTCCATTGTCTACCTCCTTGTCACTCTTTGAAGGTCATGGGGTTTCAGAGATGTAGCCCTATGGCGTCGGACTCGGCTAGATGAGCTTGAAGACAGAAGTGCTCTTTCTTTTGTTTCCTTCACCGACCGACCGGTCGTCTCTGTTGTCGTCTTTTTGCGGTTCCATCGGGAGGTGGAGAGCGATTAGACCGGGGTGGGCGCACCCCTCAATCCAGGATGGTGGAAGATGATTCCTCTGCTTGGTGCATGGCGGCGTGGCTGGTGGGAAGTGGCGCTGCAAGTGTGTCAAAGCAGCAGTGCTGGTTTTCGGCTGCGGCGGTGGAGGATTCCAAAAGGGTAGATTTCGATTAGGGTTTGAAGGCTGAATATTGTTGTTGGACTTTGGTTCTGGGCCCTGTTGTGTTCTGGACCTGGTTTGTTGGAGCCTGATGGTTTGGTTTTCAAATTCGGTTGTAATCTGCTTATACTTTTCCGTTTGGGTTTTTTGCCCGTTCTTATTCTTAATGAATTGCTACTTAAAAAAAACCGTAGACAGCACAACAGTAGCTTAACCAATCTCAATTTAGAATTTAAACACTTAAAATTTCGGGGGAAAATATTAATCCTCTACAATACCACACAATTGTATGTAGAAATCTAGTATCAAACGTTTATGTAATACGAAAAGTTTTATATAAAATGATTTTAATTGATGTCTTAATGTAAGAAAAGAATATGTCTCTCCACCTACTGAACATAACCAAATGGTTTTAATTGATCTTTGAATCCCACTATTAGGTTTTATCGGACCATATGTAGATTTTATCGGACCATTCTAGAAGAACTTCACTACATTTCCAAATCTACATAACTATAGAAAAGGCAGAACTCAACCAACAGTAGTAGCTATAGATACTCACCAGTACACATTTTCACAGATGAAATTCAAGCGCGGAACCTGTTGATGAACAACAGGTAAATGAAGATATCGGAACGAGAAGGAAAAAGATCAATCAAACTGAAAGCACGTCACAAACAAGCTGCAGATACAAGAATCAGCCTAACTACCACAATATCAACCAACTTTACCACGTTCATTTCATAATATTCACAGAAATGACACATCAACTCTGATGACATTCTGTTCTTCTTCTAGTTGTGTGCTATTGCACCCAAGAAATCAGCAACTAGCAGCTCATCTATGTCAACCTTTCAATTTTCAACACTACTTCCAACTGAAGAATTTCACGCAACTTCGCTAAATAAGAAGCGATAACATCCTGCAATACTCATGCATCTGATTTGGCCATGAGCTCTTTCTACAATCGGTACATGGTTCTCTACTTTGGTGTGGGTATTAATTAGTAGGTAAAAGAAGTTCATAGAATTAGTATCTTCTCAGAAAGCACAATGTAACTTAAACAACAACTACAGAAGTTTTCTAGCATGCAATGGCGGCAAGCACCTTACATTGAAGCACAAAGAATAAATTGGAAGGAAAGAATAGAAGATCACCTGGAGTTCCGTCGGAGGAGGAAGGGCTGACGGTATAGACGCCGGTCAGGAATGATTCCGTCGGAGGATGAGAGACGCCGCGCAAGAAATTGCAGCCGACGCCATACTAGGGTAAAAAAATGTAGTGAAGTTCTTTTAGAATGGTTTTAATTGATATTTAACCTATTTCAACAAATGTCGTGAAAAAATAGACATATGTTGAAATAAATCATATTTTGTTAAAATTCAAACAACATTTGTGAATTTTGATATCTTTCACCTCGATTTATTCATATGAAATTTTAATTAGTTATAAAATATTTTATGGTGTAGGATAATTATATATTTTGTGCTGAATTGGATTTTTACTTAAAAATATCGCCAACCGATCCAACCCATTAAAAAAAACGTAGGATTTTAATTTTTTTGGGTGTGTTTGGGGTTAATATTTCCCAAGCTGTAGTGCATGAGTCGAGTGATTAAAATGATTAAACCCGTACCACGCGAAACATGTACACTCCTTATAAAAATTGGGTCACAAATAACCAATGTTGTCAGACCGAACCGGAGCATGACCCGATAACATGAACGGCTTGCACTTTAGTGGGCCAACCGATGCTGGGTCATTTAAAAACCGTTAGAGAATCGATAACTTATAAACAATAATATCATAAGTAAAAGACACATATGGTATTGACTAAAATAAAATTTACCAGGTTTGTAATGTTGCATTATATATAATTATAATTAAATAAAATTATCTAAACCCTACCCCACTAAGCGTGCAAGAGCACCGCCCACCCTTACCATATCTCTCCCTCTCTTCCAAACCCTACCCCCACCAAGCGCCAGCGCCGCACACCCTCACTCCCCCCCCCCCCCTTCTCTCTCTGAAACTCTTCATTTCTTTGCTTCTTCTTTTTTCTTGATTCTTCTTCACAAAAATCCAACACCCATGAGTTGGGCGACAGGGAGAGTTGGGTTCGCTGGCAAGAGTAGCGTTCGACGGGAAGGGAGCTAGTTCGACGAGGAGAGTTGGGTTCGACGGGAAGAGCTAGGTTCGCCGAAGAGAGCGTCGGCGGTTGCATTCGCTGGGTATGTTGGCACTCGACCGGAATGGAGAAACCGGACGAGCTGCTCGAATGATTTCAACGATTAACCGCCTCGATCGCTCCAAAAACCGCTCTCAAACTGCTCCGACTTTTTTACTGTGCCGAGCCGACTTGGTGACCGAGTGTCAGTTTTACCGGTCGGGTCGACCGGCTCAGATCGGTTTTCATAACACTGCAAATAACACTTTGTACAACATATAGGGTCTATACTCTTTTTTTGGTAGGAAGATGGACGCAAAATCGTCCTAATTAACATAACTAATTGAACGAGTTTGGGCAATGCCCATTACATCATACGTAATCCAACGATTTAACCCCGGATCACTCACATCGAAGAGATGTGTCCCAAAAGTGGCCCCATGACCTTTACCAGCAAGGTAATCGGCCGCAAAATTACATTCCCTATGAACATGGGAGATACTAATTCCCCAGTTCCTATTCAGGAGCTGACGAAATTGTTGGGAAAGAAATCCGTGCCGATGGCTATCATCCTCGCTCGTCTTCATGATGGAAATAGTTGTCATAGAGTCCAGGTGAAGTTGTACCTTCATATGCCCCTTGTCCCAAGCAATTCTGAGTCCTTCAATCGCCCCTTTCAATTCAGCAGCGGTGATCGTACAGGTACCCATGTTACAGATGAAAGCTTCCCGACACCTCCCTCGACAATCCCTGATTAAACCTCCTGCCGGTGCACTTCCTGAAGGAGAGAGGACAGATCCATCAGATTGGATCTGTACACAGCCCTCAGGAGGAGGAGTCCAAGCAAGGTTCACATCAGCCTGCTGTCTGGAAACATGATCAAAACACTTTCTGACATTCATTTTGGCTTGCTTGACAATACGAAACCACGCCTTGATTCTGTGTTGTAGCATGGCCTCCGAGAACCCCTTCCCATCCATACATTCCTCGTTCCTCTGCTTCCACAGATGCCAGCAAATAAGGCCAAATTCGACACCAACAGCTTCGCTACTTAGGTTGCTGATCATCCATTGCCTGAAGGGGATATCCTGCCTTTTCTCATTTACGCAGAATTGGAATTTCTCCCAAACTCCCTTAGTCTTCTGGCAGTGACGAATGACGTGCTCAGTAGACTCCTCTGCATTCATACAGTGGTTACAGTTACCATTCGAGGATAGCTTCCTCTTCAGTCTTTCCTTGTTGGTAAGCAATCTTTCATGGATCACAAGTCAGAGAAAATGTTTCACCCGAGCTGGCCCTTTCCACTTCCACAATTTCTTCCAATTCTCATCACTTTCCACTTCGAGATGGTCTGCAGCGAGGCTGTAAGCTGAACTAAGTCGAAACCGTCCGTCGCTTTCGATGCCCCATATCATCTTGTCCTCGCCCATTTCGCGATTAGGAGCCTCCATACCTGCAATAAGAGCAAGCATCCGAGGTGGCAGAAGGCCATTGAGTCTCTGCCAGTCCCAGTTACCCTCGCCATCAACCCAGCACGAGACTACAAAGGCTCTTTCATTCTCGGGGATGTCCTGCAGCAACTCATCATCGAGGATAATACCATAGTCAATCCAGGGATGCCTCCAGAAGCTCGTCGTTTCCCCGTCTCTAATGCTCCAACTAGAAGCACTTTGCACTAGAGGTAGGGCTTTTTTGATTGTTCTCCAAAGGTTAGAGTGATTGCTAGTCTTCATGGAGATAACTCTGCCTTCCCTTTACTTGAAATACTTGTTTTGGATAACCTGCACCCATAAATCATTAGCATTGTTCAGAATCTGCCATCCAAGCTTCATCATATAAGCAGTGTTCAAACTTCTAGCAGATCTCAACCCAAGCCCACCCTGACATTTTGGTTTACATATGGTCTCCCAAGACAACAAATGGACTTTCCTTTTCCCCTCATGAGAGCCCCACACAAAGCTCCTAACTCTCCTATCTATATCCTCACAAACAGAGATAGGGAGGGAGGTGGTTTGCATGACATAGTTGGGGAGTGCATTTAACACTGAGAGAGCAAGAGTAACTCTTCCCACAAGGGAGAGTGTTCTGGCTTTCCAGGTGGAGAGCTTTTTGTCGATCCTCTCAAGGATGTATCTATAGGTAAACCTAGTAATCCTAGCATGCAAGACCGGGACACCAAGATATCTCCCTAAGTCGGTCATGGCCTGGATACCAATGCTACTACAGATACTCCGCTTAACCTGATCCCTAGTATTGTTGGAAAAGAAAATTCTGGACTTTTCTTTACTAACAAGCTCCCCTGAGGCAGCACAGAAACGGTCAAAGCAGCCCAGGATGGTCTCTGCCTGACTAGGAGAGGCTTCAGCAAACAACACCAGGTCGTCTGCGAAGAAAAGGTGGGACAAGGGGGGACCTCCCGGAGCAAGTCTAATAGGTTTCCAGTCCTGATTCTTAACCTCTAAAGCAATGCAATGACTTAGACGCTCAATACATAAAGTAAAAAGGTAGGGAGATAGGGGACATCCCTGACGTAGGCCTCTGGTTGGCTTGAAGCTTTCGGTCTCCCCACCATTCCAGAGGACTTGCATCTCCAGAGAAGTGACACATTGCATCACAAGGCAGATAAAGTTCATGGGCATCCTAGTAGCTGACAAAGTCTCTTCTAAAAAGCTCCAGTCAATCCGATCATATGCTTTAGCTAAGTCGATCTTGAGAAGAATGAGCCCTTTCTTTCCAGTTCTTCTATCCATGGTGTGAACTGTTTCTTGCAAAATCGGAATATTATCAGTGATGGGCCTATTCGGAACAAAACTAGATTGGTTTGCTCCCACAAGGTGTTTCATAAACAGCTTAAGCTTGTTAGCAAGGCATTTAGCAAGGATTTTATACGTTGCACTGCAAAGACTAATAGGCCTAAACTGACTCATTGAAATTGGAGCATCAACTTTAGGAATAAGGACCAGCAGAGTCTCATTAATAGAACGAACATTCGCAGGGTTAGCATAGCAAGAAAGGATAAAGTTAGAGAGGTCCCTTCCAATGAGATTCCAACAGCGTTGGTAGAAGACCACGTGGAAACTGTCCTTTCCAGGAGCTTTCAGTCCTTGCATTCCTTTCACAATCTCTCTAATCTCAAAGGGGCTCGGAGGGACCCCCATGGCAGCCATCCTTGTGTTTTCAACTTCAGGGAAGCACGCTGGGTTATAGGTTGTAGACAGCCCATCATCCTTGGTGAAGAGGTCGACATAGAAGTCTCTGGCCATAGCAAGAAGGGATTCCGGGTTGGTAACCCACTCCCCGTTAGCAGCTTCTAAACATGTGATTCGGTTCCTTTTTCTCCTGCTGAGAGTACTGTTATGGAAAAACCTTGTGTTTTGGTCGCCGTGAATCACCATATCAGTCCTCGACTTCTGCAGCCAAAGGATTTCTTCTTGCCATAAGGTGTCATCCAATTCTTCTCTCGTTGCTTGCTCCTTACGCATTGAGAGATCAGTAGCCGCTCGTTTATTTAAAAATTCCAGGCTTTCCAACTCCTTAACTAGCCTTTTCTTGCGCCTGAAGATGTTCCCAAAAACATCTTTGTTCCATTTCCGGAGCTTCAAGGCCAACTCCAGCAAAGAGAGGGGAAACAGATGTGAACTATTCCAAGCAGAGTTAACAAAGGGATCAAAATCTTTATGAGCAAGCCAAGGAGCAAGAAATTGGAATCGACGCACCAAATTTTGCTTCAGAGGCTCACTTCCCGTGCATGTGAGGATCGGGCGGTGGTCAGATTTGATTTTAACAAGATGGAAGGTGGTAGATTGGGGGAATCTTTGCTGCCAAGCCAGGTTGCAAAGTCCCCTATCCAGTCTTTCCTTAATCTTGCTCCCACTAGTAAACCAGGTAAACCTAGGTCCAATGTATCCCACATCAATCAACCCGCAGTCACTGATACAGTCCGTAAAGGCTCTAGCTTTGGCAAAGCTGAAAGGGGCCCCTCCCTGTTTTTCAGAAGCACCAGTGATGGAATTAAAGTCGCCGATGCAAAGCCAAGGAACTTTAGTTCTCCTACTGATACTCCTCAGGGACGCCCACAAATCTCTCCTCATGTACTCGTTGGGGCTGGCATACACAATCGAGAGGTGACACACTTCCTTGCTGGGCAAGGTACAAGAGAGGTGGATGAATTGACGTTCAATCAAAATCTCCGAGATGGTGATCTTATCCTTGTTCCACAGCACCCAAATCCCCCCATTGTAGCCTATGGCTTCAGAGACGAGCTTTGAATCTTAGCCCACAGATTTAATCACATCTTCAGCATCCTTCCCACTAATCCGTGGTTCGAGAATGCACACAATATCGGGATGATGAGTAGCTTTATACAACTCCAGAGAGGACTTGAATTTGTGGTGCTTAGCACCACGGTAGTTCCAAGAGAAAACCTTAATCATATCTGAATAAGGGAAGGAACTCCACGCGATTCAGGGATCGACATTCAATGGTGATCAAGGTCATGGCCGTCAACTCCACACCAGTATCACGACTTTCAGCAGTTTTACTGGAGTGACAAGCAATTTCTGGAAATCAATCTTCCTATGGAGACTTGTCCCATTATCTGGGGGCTTGCCAATCTTCGCCTTAGTGGTCTTTGAAGAGCCTTGGGTTGTTGACTGGTCTCTCATCTTGGGTTGTTGCCCGACTTTGGCCGGACCGGTATGCTCCTTTCCCTTGTCTGATTTTGGTAGGGCATAGGGTCTATACTCTATAATGTCTGTTCGGAGAACACTTTTACCGTTTACGAGATATAGGGATAAGTTGCAAAATAAAGGAAAAAGCGCGAGAGAGAGAGAGAGAGGTTTCAGCTTCTTCCAGTTCGAGATCTGAGGCATAACTAACTTAATAAACCTCCGGCTTCCGAGAGCCAGAGTTGAAGAGATGATACAGGTTGTTAGCTGGTCAGGAACCCACGAAGATTGACCGACGACCTAGTGGTGGTGGAATCCAGTGGCGGACCCAGGATTGTCGAAGAGGGGTGTCGCCGAAAAAAAAATAATAATAATAAAATAAAAATAAAAATAAAAATTATTAGAAATTAATTCATAAGTTCATAATGTCACGTTTACAACGAACCACGACGACTTTTCATATTCTGAAATGTTTCTAGAATACATTCATCGCTTAAGTTGCAAAATATAGCTTTTTCAATATACACAACTAAACAATCATTCATAAATTGGTCACTCAACCGATTCCGAAGATCGTTCTTGATGATCTTCATAGCTGAAAATGCTCTTTCACAGCTTGCAGTTGCAACAGGTAAAGTCAACACCAACTTCAGAAGCAAGAAAACTAAAGGATATAAAGTATCATTTTCTCTCTCAACAAATTTTCTAGCTAGCTCGTCGATTCCCTGCAATCCATCAAAGCTCCTATCTTCCTTGACATGAGAAATGTAGCCTCTTAATTGTTGATCAAGTCTTGAGTGCACATTGGATGGGAATTCCTCAGGATAAAACTCAGTAAGACTCATCAACTTTGCTTTATCAAAAGCAGCAAAAGAGTTAGTTGGACTAAAACAAGAAATTGCAGTCCAACAATCGAGTATTCACCTCACCAAATCGAGTATTCAATTCTTGCAATTGCATATCAATGACTTCATAAAATAGCTCAACTTGATAGTGATGCAAGTTTGTGGGCTGATGAGGGGTACTACGCCTTGTTCTTCCAGCAAGGGTGCTTTACTGCTGTTTGTATGTGGGGTGGAATTTTATGGTGATGGGTTATTTAGACTAAACCAAAATTATTTTACTTAGTATGAATAATTAAAAATTAAGATGAACACATTTATAACAATAAATAATTTCTAGTATAATGAATGGGTTCGTCTATAATTATTAGAGCGGTGTCGGAAATTTCGTATTAAAATTTTTTGTACCGAAAAAATATAGGTCCTTCACAAAAATTTCGGGCGAAGGGGTGTCGGGCGACACCCCTACCCAACACACAGGTCCGCCCCTGGACTGGAATCAGTTTTGGGGAAGAACATACCTGGGGGTTGAGAGAGATAACAGAGAACAGAGGAGCGAGCAAGCCATCTTCGAGCTGGTTGGATGAATCTGGTAACTAAATCAAACATATTTATTTGATTTAATGTTTAGTATTGTTTACCCTTTTGATTCATCCGGATTTTGTGTGCTCTGGAGGGGTTTAAGTTTTTCCTCCTAATCGGTGTCGGAGTTGCCTACCTACCCCTGCTCTCTGTTTTGGTTTCGGATTCGATTTGTGTTAGGGGGATTCACAACATTTATAAATAATTAGACTTTACGTAAAGTAAACGCCTAATCATATTGAAATCCTTTGAAATTGACCCAACAGATACCGGTCGAATCAGCTGCTATCCGGCTAGGTTTTATCGCCGGCGATGGCGAACACGATGATGAAGGGAAAACAAGACAGAGTAGGAGAAGCAGAACAAGTGGGTCACGATTGGAGTGAGTTGCCCGGGGAGCTGTTGGCTCTAATCGGCCAAAGGTTAATCAAATTAAAGCTCGCAATCCGTTTTCGAGCAGTCTGTACAAGATGGAGGAGAACCCTGGCAGAGCTGCAGCCTATGATGTTCCGTCAATCATCGCCATCACCGTTGCTGATGTTGCCCTACTGTAACGACGACGCAGCTTGTGGTTGCCGCAGCCAGCAGCAGCAATTAGAAGGCTGCCAATGCCGCCTCTTTTTGGACTTGGTCCACAACCAATATCACCACATCGATTTTGTGGAAGGCTTAGAGAGAAGCAGCTGCCGTGGATCAGCATTCGGATGGTTGTTTATGCTGCAGCTGCCAGTCCCACTGTTACTGAACCCTCTCACTGGTAAGCAAATCCAACTCCCACCCATTACTTCTTTCTCGGATGTCTTAGAGTATGACCCTGAAAAACTGGGTCTTGAGTATTTGGTTCAAGATCCCCTCCCCGAAGGCGGCAAAATAAGACTAGGGAAGAGGCGTTTAGGGTACAACTACATGAGGAGATTTGCAATGTCCTCGGCGGACCCCACTTCGGAGGACTGCACTGTGATGGTTATCCGTCAGAATAATTATATGAATTTGGCGTTCTGCAAACCCGGAGAGGAAGAGTGGGTGTTGATTCCCAACCCCGACGGCAACCACTTGCAGAACATTGTGTTCTGGAGAAATCAGTTCTATGCCATCGATTTGGACAGCATAGTTCTGCGTTGTGATTTATCGAACCCTGCAGTCCCTACCATGTCCGTTTTCGTTGATGGTGTTGATATGCAGGCTGACACTGCCTACCTGCTTGTTGGTCCAGCCGACGAGTTGATGATGATTGCCAAGTGCGTGGAGTTCGATGGTCAGGATGTCGATGACCATGGACTGCCGGTTCATCATGAACATGTTGAAGAAGCTGAAGGTCAGGATGTTGTCGATGACCATGGACTGCAGGTTCATCATGACCATGACGAAGAAGCTGAAGATCAGGATGTCGATGCGCATGGACTGCCAGTTCCTCATCATCATGATGAAGAAGAAGAAGAAGAAGTTGACGATCAGGCTAGTGTTTTCTGTGTTTCTGATGTGGACACGGATACTGAGCTGGAGTCGAGAGGAACTGCAAATTATAGGTCTACCTTCGAGGTTTACAAGCTCAACGAAGATACACGTCAATGGGGCGCGGTGCAAAGCATTGGTGATTTTGCTCTGCTTGTGGGTACCAATACGCCTACCTATCTCTCTACCAAAAATTACCCTGGAGTTCAGTCGAATTGCATCTATTTCACAGACGACGAGTTCACCGCACATGTACGACGAAGGTTTGGAGGCCATGATATGGGCGTTTATCACCTCAGTGATGGCACTAGGGAATCATTTTGCTCTACTGACTTGTACAAACCTGGTTTGATTTGGCCACCACCCGTGTGGATTGTACCATCCAACTGTTAAAGCTTGGGATCTATGATTACTTGGTTCGATAAGTTAGCTTGTGTTTGTTTTCTTCTTTCTTTCTTTCTGTGACCTACCCATGTACCTCTCTTTGTTTCCTGGACTTGTGCTTGCTGCTTTCGTTGATTCAATGTATCAGTTGGAAATCAGAAGCAAGCAAAGGCAGGCACTGTCGTTTGTTGTATTGTATCCTGTAGGTTTCCCTGGCAAAATTCAGGCTTTTGGGTTGACCGTAGCCGCCATATCAAGCTAACTAGGCCAGCCTTCCGCATTTGGGCCTCTTCTTGGGTTGAAATTGGGCTTCTGTTTTTCTACGGAAGTCCGGCCCTTTGGCCGCAGGTTGCCATTTGAAAAGTCGTCGACTCATTTTGAATAGTAGAGCAACATCAAAGTATGAGTACTGAAATGGTCATTCCAAATAACTTAATCAACAAAAACCAAAATGTCGTTCTTCCATTCTAACATTGGAGTTAAAATGTGCACTAAATTGGAGAAAAGAACTGGTTCATCTCGAATTGTCCTAACATTCTCAATTATTTTTCTCGGGACTGAAATTTGAATCTAATCCATCAAATCCATTTTATTGACTAAACAATGCAAGTAATTCTATCCACTAAATCACATTTCATGAAAATTTGGATTTATTTTTCCCGGTGAATAATTTGGAATATTTGTCTATAATGCCAATACTATTTATATTTCACAATATTTGTCTGTAATTTATACCAATACCAATTGCTCTCTAGGTCGTATAATTGAACCAGATCTCCAATGATTTCCATGGAACGTTTTGATCATTAGCTAGTAATCGGCTTGCTTACACTGCAAAATGGGGGGCGGAATCGACCAAATAAATTGAACCGCCATTGATGGGTGTAATCTGTAATCTAAACAAGCTTTAGCTGTTGATTAACATTATAATTGAGGTCGACGTTGATTGATCAAGAAAGACAGAGATTGGCAGCAGAGGAGAGCATACATGTGCCGGCGAGCATACATATCGCTATCGATGCTGACAGATGACCTTGTAATTGAAAACGGTATGAAATGATCCTTCGCCCAAAACCAGAAATTAGAGTAGTATGCACGGCAGAAAACAAATTGCAACCACAATTGAACATAAAATCTTATAGGAAGCGTCAATCCTACCACTTTATATGGTTTCTCACTATATAAATATACACATTACAATCTTTGTTTAGTATAGTTTTGTTATCGTTGTAGTTGCAGTGTTATTGTGGTGGAAACGGAGATACAATCACAACTTCATGAAAATAAAAATGAAACATAGAAACCCGTTTAGATGTTGATTATGAGAAATCATGAAAGTTGACAATTACCTAGCGGTGGATCCATAAATTTTAAATAGGGTGTCAATTTTAAAAATAAATTAAATAAAAAATTAAATAATTCTTAAATAAGAAAATATCTGACTCGTACAAAGTTAAAAAAAAGTCCACGATTAGTTTTCATATTCGAAAATAATTGTAGAATACACTTGGTGTCTATGCTGCTCAAAAAAGTGTATCTTTATACCCTACTAGACAATCATTCATGAACTGATCGTATATTCGAAATCTAAACTTGTTTTTGATGTAATCCAAAACAGAAGAGACTCTTTCAACACTTGTCGTACAACCATAAAATCACACCAATGTAGGGTAGCTTGAAATTAGATTAATTGTTAGGTTTTGAAAATAATTAGAGATAGAGAATGACATTTTCATATTGCACACGGTGTTTAAAATCGAACAACAAATGAGAGTAGGATAATCATTTTTTTCAAATTTCAGGGGTATCCCCCACTATCAATTATATGTTTTTGTCTATACACAAATTATCACCGGGGATTGGATAATCATTTTCCCAAAACACCCCCAAAGTGCCCTGGGTCCGCCATTGTAATTACCTACTTTTAGTTAATTCATTAGGCCTCGTTAAGTATCAATGTTGAGACCAAAACAAAGGTTTCATGGATAAGTTATGCAGAAATAGAGAGAGAAAATAAGTAAAAAGTGAGTTTGGTGAGATTAGGTCATAGACATCTTTGAATGAGATTATTACAACAAGTGATAGCATCACACAAAGCAACAACCTTTTGAAAACAGCAAGAGCTACTTAATATTCTTTCACTGTTTTCAGCTAATTTCTATTTTGTTGCCACAACAGATGAAAACAATACTAAACATATTTTCGGTTCTTACTTTCACATCCCATCATACATATTCGTGGTGGAGCTACGTGTAGTCCATAAAAAGCTATAGTCACCTTCAATTTTTATCTAAGACCATGTTTAGTATATATATATTGGCTACTTCAGCGCACTCACTTTTTTGGGTGCACTGACTCTAAAAGTGTCTATAATACATCAAATTTAGAACTTTAATTAGTACTCTCAATCTAATATGATTATATGACATAGAATCATACCAAATCAATCTATTACCCTAACCCCTTAACCTTCAATTTTGAATCCCAACCCAAAATCCTAAATTATAAACCTAAACCCTAACCCTAAATCCCTAAATCCTAAATCCTTCAAATTAAATTAAATTTTGAATGATTTTTTTTCAAATTCACGTGCTTCTGGTTCATAATATCATAAGCAACAAATGATATCGTTTTTATATGAATCGCATGCTCAGAATGACAATTATGAGGCGGGTGCACTGAGTGCACCCAAAAAAGTGGGTGCACCGAATACGCCACCACATATATATATATATATATATATATTGACAAATTGGAGCATTTTTATTCCAAATCAAAACAATGGAAGCACAGATAAAACAGTGGTGACAAAAGATCAGCAATATTGATCCAATCTTTCAGGAGAACATCTAATCTAGCATTACGAGCAACCCAGTCGGCCAACAAATTGTGAAGTCGAGGAACAAATATCATTTTCACCCAAGGAGTCGAAACGAGAATGGTCAAGACACGAGCAAGGATAGCCCAATATTGCCAAGGCCACTGATCCAGAACAAGCTTAAGAGCATTAACAAAAATCTGAGAATCAGAATATCAGATTTGACACATGCTGAGCAATGTTCTCGAGCCGCCAAAATCACTGCATTGAGAATGACATAAGCTTCCGCCTGCATCAAATAGGAAGAAAAGAATCTCTCAATCTCGCCGTTGTACCCCCAAGTTTTTCTTCCCTACCGAAGACATCCAACAAACAGTCCGAATTAGAGCCCAACACTATAGTTATCAATCGCATCAGCTAATCCTGATCCAAACAAAACGCCAATTAAGTTTTGCATTTGGAGATGAAGCTACCGATTTCTCTCAAACGTGGAAGCTTTCGTTAACAATAAGGCCAAAGCCAGCCGACCGTTCGTTCCTTTTCCGTCGCTTTCATTTCCCTTTACATGGTTGTTGTTTTCCTGTATGGAAAAGGAAAACAATGGTAGCAACCTGCAAATGAGAAGTAAACAGGTAATTAAGAGTGGAAAATGAAATCTGTTTTGTTCTGGGGGATAATGAGAGTGAAAATGAAACTTGCTTTCTCGCTCTCCATGGACCATAACTTTACATATTGCCATATTGGTCTGATTTTCACATTGCTTTCACCAAAAGAAAAAAAAAAACGGGGGCTTTGATGCTGAGTGCCACCAATATGAAATAATGAAACACTTACATGCATTTGGAGCTACAATTAAGTGCATGTAACCAATACCGTCAGAATCGCGCCTTTAAAGTTTAAAAATTTACGATTTTACACTTCTATGTCATCAAAACGTTGATACATAGAATCACGCTTTTTTCCTTATAAATGTAGTAAAAATCTAAGTTTTAAAGCTTACGGTTTTACGCTTCTGTATCACCAAACGCTTCTACATAGAATCGCGATTTTGACTGCGTTACATGTAACAACATTGAAGAATTTCGCGCTCTCCTTTGCAAGCAAAATTTTCTAGCAACCAAATTACTTTCGGTTGATGTTGTTAGGAAATTCTATTTCCTATAATGTTATGGGCCACATATTTGACAATTATATAGCTATTTGTTTTAGTGGGCTAATTGTAAGTGATCCAAATCAGGAGCCCAAAGATGTCTTCTATTGATATGAGGCTAAATGGGTGGAAACCCAATACTTGTTCACCTTGGGTATTATGGGAGCCCATGGTGACTAGTATATAAACGAGCTTGAGGTTGTGGTCCCCAATACACCAAGACGAACACATTCTCATCTTCTCCCCATCGGGAAGATGAGAGCTCTCCTATATAAGAATTAAGGAGGCTTGGTTGAGGAAGGCTACAGAACCTCCCGGATCGTGCTTCCAGAAGTATCGTCCGGTTGCAGACCGTCTTATGTTTTTCGCATCAAGATCCAGAGAATCAACCGACACGAATCCAGGTATTCCCACTAATCTTTGATAATCTGATAAGATGAAGTTCCGGGGATTACATATGTGTTATGCTTAATTCTAACAGATGTTAACCATTTAACGTACAATAACTACACATAACGTGGGAAAATCGATAATAGTTTCAACTTTCAACCCATAGGACAATATTATTGGAATCTAGAAGCTGTAAAAACATTTTTTAACAGTAGTAAAACCCTAACCCAAATCTCGGAAAAAAATCCCACTGTACACACGTTATTAAAAAAAATTCCCAAAATACATAAGTTATAAAAAAAATTCCCAAAGTACACATGTTTGGCATTCACCGTTTTTGACAAACGCAGTGAAGGTATTCACCGCGTTTGATAAAAACGGTGAACATTTCACCGTTTTAAATAAAAACGGTGATGCCTTCACCGCTTTTAATAAAAACGGTGAAGGCTTCACCGTTTTAAACAGAAACGGTGAAGACTTCACCGTTTTTATTAAACGCGGTGAAGGAGCTGACGTGGACAAACGCGGGGTATTCACCGCGTTAGACAAACACGGTGAATACCCCGTGTTTGTTTACGTCAGCAATCCGGGCCAATTTGCTATCACCGTGGCCGTTGGATGCGGTGAGGCGCGGATCGTGGTTTTCTTCCCACGATCCGACGCCTCACAACACGCCACGTCCCCTAGATATACACCGCGTTTGTTGACAGCGGTGAGTTCACCGCGTTTGACTAACGCGGTGAAAGCCCTCCAATTGAATGCTGCGCAGGCTCCTCCCCCCTTCCCCCAACTATAAATACCCCCTTCCCCTTTCACTTTCAACTCACCCCACAAACAATTCACTTCTTTCTCCCTCAATTTATCCGCTCTAGTCTCGTTCTAAGTATGCTCTGTGGTTGCGGCTAAGTCCGATCTTCCACATCAGAAAGAATTACTAGAGTTTGACCCTAAAGCCCCCGTCCCGCCAAGTTCCCGTCCCTTACAAACCTAAAATCGTCGAACCTCTGTCCGGCCTACGCCAAAAAATGGACGAAGAGGCTCTTCGTGTAGGTTTTTGGTTTATGAATTTTTTTTAATTGAAACAATTTGATTTTTTGTTTTTTTTTTATCAAAACAATCTCTGATTTCATTACTTTTTTATAGATGGGTGCCGAGATATACGATCCTCGATTGTATATCCATTATGGCCCAAGGGATGCGAGTCTCTTAACCGATCAAGAAGCTCATCGCTCTCGTGCTATTTGGGATAACTATCCGGTAATTTTTTGAGTATTCTTGCTTTATTTTATTATTTTCTAAGGTTTTATTTTGCTTTATTTAATCTAATAAATTGTAATTTTTCCTATTTGTTTTAGGAATCGCTTGTTCCCGTGGTTCATAAAGGGACCAATAACTTGCCCGCTTGGCATCCAAGGTTGGAGCCCTACATAGCGAGGACCGGTTTGGGAATGTTGCGCCATTTCTTGCGGATCGAGATCGACAACGATCTGCTTACGGCAATGGCGGAACGATGGCATCCCGAAACCCATACATTCCACCTTCCGGAGGGGGAAATGACGATCACCCTCAAAGACGTGGCGATCCTCACCGGGCTTCCTATTTCTGGAGATGCAGTCATTGGTTCCACGACCAAACCCGAAGGAGGTTGGGGGCCGCTCATACGTGATCGTTTGGGCTTCGACATGCCGACCACCACACCAATTCAAGGACGGGGGCATCCACCGTTGAATGCGGGGCAAGTGTCGGTCCCGTGGCTGGTATCTCACATCCAGCAAGAGGTGGAAATCAATGACGAGACACCGGAAGAACAAGTCGAGCGCTACGCCCGCATCTACCTCATCGGTTTGGTGGGTGGATTTTTGTTCCCCGACAAGTCCAACCGGTGGATTCAAGGCATATGGTTGCCATTGCTCACTGGTGACTGGGATGCAATTGGAGAGAAGAGTTGGGGATCGGCCGTGCTAGCGGGCGTATACCGGGAGCTGTGTACTTGCTCGAAGGTTGGGGCAAAGCAAGCTGGTGCTGCGATGTTCATCCTGCAACTGTGGGTATGGGAGCATCTACCGATGTTCGCACCTGCCGACCCACGTCCATACCGGAGAAACGATGATGAACTCAACTTTCTGCAAAATCTCCCCTACGGTGTCAAGTAAGTTTATTTCGTACTGAGCCCAATTTAATTTTGATTGTGTACTTAGCTAGATTTAAATTGAATTTATTCTGTAATTTTGATTGCATGCTTAACTAGATTTAAATTGAATTTATTCCGTACTTAGCCCAATTTAATTTTGATTGCATGCTTAGCTAGATTTTAATTTTATTTATTACGTACTTAGACCAATTTAATTTATTATATGCTTAGCTATATTTCAACTAAATTGAATCCGTACTTTTACTTACAAGGTGGATAGGAGCAAATACGAATGACCATCAACCTGAGCATTCGTTATTGTTTTATCGTTCTGAGTTAGATAAACCATGGTGGAATCAGGTAATCATATTTTGTCCATATTTGAACAAGTTAAATTTTGTCAATGTAAATGGTCATTAATTCCGAATTTTTTAATGAATATAGGTTATATGGGATCCATATCCACGTGAAGTGGGTGAGCTGCATCATCTTAGGCACCCTCTGGATCACGAGACGTGGTTGTGCAAAGTGCCATTGATCTGCTGGCACATGGTGGAATGGCACCTACCCGATCGATCTTTGAGGCAATATCGAATGGAGCAACCCATTCCACAAGACCCGCCAGCCGGTTTCAGGGAGCTACATGCTATTGACCTCCGACACACTGCAAAGAACTGGGTGCTAAAGCATGGATTCTACATCAACATCTGGGAGAATCGGTCCCAATGGGTGGTGCAAGGGATGCCGGAGACGAGACCGATGGGCTACCACGATGGATACATGCAGTGGTATCGGAAGTTCACCATGAGATGGGTGTCAAAGCAAGGTGCTGTGATGGGGTCGTTGGTAAGTCATCCTAATCTCCCTCATTCAAAAATCTATTTATTTTAAGGTTTAGTTAATTTGATAAGATAAGTGCTTTCCTTAGGTTGATGGTTTGGAACATGCCAAGTACACCCTCGAGAGTGCTCCAACCATGGATGAGCGGAAGACTAATTGGTTGACCCGACTTATGAACAACCTCCTGAGTTGTACAAGAGAGCAAAGGAGGGATGTCGTGGCATATCCTCCCGTTCCTGCCCCGGCACGACCCTCATTCCGTGATGATGCACCCATTGTGCCCCCGGTTGAGCCCCCACGAAGGAGCAAACGCAGGCCTCTACCTACATTCGATGAGGTGCGTACAACTCAAGAAACCGAGATCCCTGAACCGTTCGAGTACCAGTGGGCACCTACAGCGGAAGCCGGTGGAGGGTCATCGAGTCGTGGAGCATCTCAGGAGTGGGACACTTTCTCTCATGGGTTCTCTCAATTCCAACATCAGCAACAGAGTTCGATGTATCAGACCCCGCAACAACAAACTCCGCAACCTCCGATCATTCGCCAAGCTACCGCTCCATCTCAGCCACCACCACCACCATATGTAACCCCAGTTGGGGCTCGGGTCAAGAGAAACCCGCGACAAGCCGTTGAGCGAGCCCGCCAAGAAGCAGCGGCGGAAGGGGGAAGAAGGGGTCGAGGACGTCGTGGAGGACGAGGAGGAAGAGGTGGAGATGGGGGCCAAAATGAAGCAAATGAGTGAATTTATCGTTTTATCATTGTAGTGAACTATTAATGTTGTTTTTTTGCTTTTTAGGTGTTATTTGAGTTTGCATTGTCTAAAAACTATCCTACGCACTTAAGTTATCGAATGAATTTTCTGTATCATTTTATCAAGAATCAGTATCTTCCCTCAACACGAAAAAGTTGGGAAAATCAACCACAATCGCATAGAATTTTACAGATCCCAATTCCGATTCCAAACGAGTGAGATCAGTGACGTCAAAGCGCGATCGTAACGTTAAAGTAACTTTTGCGTACTAAAAACTAAAACGCGCGTATCTTATTCGTTTGTGGTCGAAATAACGAGCCGTTTGCGGTAGCGCGATCGTATCGACAAGGACAACATTTTAGAAACAACAAAATACTTAGAATTCAGATGCAAACGGTAATGAAAAATTAAACAAGCGATCAATTTAGTAGCAGAATACAAGTAAATGCAAATTAAGTTGATGGTTGTCCTGGGCAACGCCTCTTGTCGTGACCAGGTTGTCTGCACTTAGAGCATCGCTTCGGACCCCTTCTCGTCCGTTCAACTTGATCCATCTCATTGTGTATCCTTTCAACTCTAGGACGACCTTTGGTGCGTTTTAGGTGCAACGGTGGGATAATCAACTTTCCAGTGTATATAGGCCAATACGCTTCATCTGGCATGGGGCTCAAAGCTGCATTATATGAGTTCCGTATCGCTTGCTCAGTGTAGTAAGGACTCACCAGGCTGTTTCTGTTCATGGTTATTGACTTAGCAACCGCCATTGCATGTGAACAGGGTATCCTTTCGTTCTGATACTTTTGACAAGAACACTCCCCTAATTCGTAGTGCAATTTAACCGTTTGACGATTGTGACCACGTCTCCCTCCACCCCATATACCTGTTTCGACAGCGAATATTCCTTCACTGCGGTCAAAAAGAACAACCTTATGCTTACTTGATTTTTCATCGTTCTTCTGCATTTGAGCGAATACGTCATGTGCTATTGAATGACCTTGCAACTCCCTCCCTATTGCTAGCTGTAGCCGAGCAACTCGCCATTCGTTGACCTTCCAGTAAGACATCTCCACGATGACAGAAATAGGCATCGCTCGAAGACCCTTGTACACATTATTTATACTTTCTCCATGGTTGGTAGTTGCAATGCCCCATCTGGCCCCGTTGTCCATATGGAACGTCCACATGGGCAACTCTTGACCTTCAGCCCATACTGCTCCAGCTCGGTGGGTATGACGGATCGTTTTCATCTTCTCCTCGTACTTTTTTGGTTGATGTGCAACCGCTAAAAGGTGAACAAAAGACTAACTGGTCAATACATGATGAATAAAATTTTGATTATCAGCTTAATAAACACAAACTTAAATCGCATAAGTAAAACATTAGTACCTGCATTCCAAAGTAAATTCTTGATGTCTTTCTTCTTCCCAAATTTGTGTTGGAAATTGGCGAGCCAGTGTCGAATACACCATCTCCATCTCCACCCCCACTCGTCGGGAAAACCACCAACAGCATTCCTTATCCCCGCATGTCGATCGGATATAATCGTAATATCTTCCCGCTGTGTCACGTGCTCGTGCAGTTGGTCAAAGAACCAAGCCCAACTTAAGCTGTTCTCCCCCTCCACTAATGCAAATGCAAGCGGGAAAATCCGCCTGTTTCCATCTACGCCAGTGGCAATTAGAAGACATCCTTTGTACTTCCCAGTAAGGAAAGTTCCGTCAACCTGAATAAAAATTAAGACTATAATTAGTATGAAATATACTAAACAACAAATAATACAACATTTAAAACTGGAACTAGTTGGTAAAATACCTGAATAACCGGTATGCAGAACCCAAATCCGTCAATGCATGGTTTAAAAGCCCAAAAAAGACGATGGAACATCAACTTATCCTGTACTCGAACTTGATCCTCAGTGTATACATTGTTGTATACTGGGACGAAAACAGTCCCAGGATTGGACTCCTCCATTGCTCCCATAAGTCTAGGGAGTAAAGCATACGAATCCTCCCAATCACCATACACCTCAGCCATGGCTTTCTGCTTACCATGCCATGCTTTTTTATACCTTATCGTGTAAGAATGTCGATCCTTCACCTCTGCCATGATAGCTTTCACCTTGATATCTGGTTGTGCTTCTATAAGGTGCTTAATAGTTCTCCCAACCTTTTTTGCCTTTAGTTGCCTGTGATCTTGGGAAAGTATAGAAGAGGAGCATGTGTGGATCGTCTCAGCTTTGCGAATCACCCAAGCACCCTTTCTCTTCATATTTGCAGCCCGCAGTTGCCACGTACAACCCTCTGCATCATGCTTGCATATGACATGTAGTTGTTTACTGTCAGAATATTTTACCTTCCACTCGAAATTGCGCCTCAACGCCTCTTCTGTAAACGCATCCTGCACAGCATCTTTCGATGGGAACGCCATACCCACCTCCAAATTGGCCGTCGGATTGTACACTGGCAAAGGGACATAATCGGGGGGATCATTCTGACTATGTAAAAATTGAGTTGGAACCTGTGTGTAATATGGCGTGGGTGCCTCACGAAATGCCGCCTCATCCTCGTTATCATCAGTATCTTCCTCCTCCTCGCTCACTGATCTCAAATCTTCCTCAGTATCCTCGTCGCTCGACTCGAATGGATAGCTCGGGCTAGAAGGATCAACATGACCACGATCACCAACATCGTCCTCTCGCTCATGTGAAGTACGCCCTGATCGAATGGTATTCTCGATTCCATACCACTCTGGCCCCCAAGCAGGCCATTGAACACCATCGGCCTCAACAAATGGGGCTGGTTTAGGAGGTTGCGAGTATTTCTCCCATCCTGCACTACTCGATCCACCGTAGTTGATTGAACCACCACCCTCCCCGTAACCTCCTGTATAACCACCGCCTTGGTAGTTGCTCGAACTACCACCCCATTCGTACCCTCCTGCAAAACCATCATCATAAGAATACTGGTGAGAATGAGATTCACCGACCGCCTCGGTCTCAACATACACCTCTGCAAGCCGGACTTGGTTATCGCTTAGGAACTGTAACATCATCGTAACCGCGTCATCATCATTTATGACAACTTCTTGGTACACGACCCCGCCAGCACTCATGTCTGGATACCGGTAAGTAATTCTGCCAAGTCTCGTCTGTCCGCTCGTACAAACCCTTTCTGCACAAAGATCACAGAGTTCTTGAAAATTGAATCGGGAACCAATGTTCAGCATAATGGATTCGCCGTCCTCATAATCAATGCCTATGTTAGAGTTTGTCACCCTTCCATTCCACCGAATATTAAGATGAAACTTCTTGAATTTACCCATATCTACAAATCGAGGATAAGTATATATTAGCTTAAAGACAGTAAAATTAACCAAACTAACAACAACATAATACGAAAATTAAATCATACTATATTGTCCATCTCATAACTAACGAAAATAAATTCAACTAACTAACAACAACATAATACGAAAATTAAATCATACTATAACTAACGAACATAAATTCAACTAACTAACAACAACATAATAGGAAAATTTAATCATACTATAACTACTAAAAACATAATTAGACAATAATACGAAAAGTCTCAACATACCGAAAAATGTCTGTTCTGTGTATTATGCTCGATTTTTGTTGCTGAAATTTGAAGAAGGGGGGAGTGGTAAGTTTTTGCTTCTGCTGGTGGGTGGGTATTTATAGGAAAATTTGCTACTATTCACCGTTTTTGTCAAACACGGTGAACACCATCACCGCGTTTGTCTCAAACGGTGAATAATAGGTAGGTGTGACCTAATTTTGACCTACCAGGGGTGGGAAACGTGGGAATATATCACCGCTTTAACCTAAAACGGTGAAGGTAATCACCGTTGTCAACATAAACGGTGATGTATTCACCGTTTCCAACAAACGCGGTGAATATATCACCGTTTTAGGTTAAAGCGGTGAATACGTCACCGTTTTGGTCTTAAACGGTGAAGTATTCACCGTCTTTGACAAACGCGGTGATAAACTTCACCGCTTTTGTCAAACACAGTGATGCCCAAACATGTGTACTTTTGGAAAAAATTTTATAACTTATGTATTTTGGGAATTTTTTTTAAAAACTAGTGTACTTTGGGATTTTTTCCCCAAATCTCCTACATAATTAAGAAGCAATTATTGGCGGGAGCAATGGATGAGAGGAAAAGAGGGGACGGGAGGGGTCCCAATCTAGCTACTGCCCCTAAAGAAAACAAAAAAAGAAAGAACAGAGTTCTGTGAATGTAAGGAACCAACAACCACAAACACTACCAACAAGTTTCTGTTGTGATTAAACCCTCCCTCCAATAATATTATTCAAAGGGACTGCTTTTTCTGAACACTGCTGATAGTTTATTAATAGCACAACATGACAACCTTATTAAAAACTTATGTCTCCTGGGATATACCTAATTTCTAGAGATTTTAGTACAATCACAGCACAGTAAGCTTCATTCTATCTTATCTATGAAATTAGGGCCCAAAAACAACTATCCCCACTATCATATCTTATCTATGAAATCAGGTTCTCATGATTTTTAACTGGAAGGTATAAGATTATGATCTAGTTGCCTAATGTTGTTGCAAATCAGTAACAATAACAGAGCTGATGAAATTGTATTGAAGATGCAATCCATTAGGCCAATAGCTCGAAGTTTAATAGTGAAACTGTGAAATTCACATAGCTTACCATTTTGAGATTGTACGTGTGAACAGCCAGCTATCATGGATTTGCCTGATATTAATGAGGTCATGTGGTATTAGACATATTTGACGGATCCTTTCCTGAGAAGGAAAAAAAAAAGTGAAACTGTCAAGAACACACAACAAAAAATCATACCAGTTTAATATCCCTTAGTACACTGCATATTGAGAAAGATTTCCCCAGATTGCGTAGAGAAGCACTAGTTAACTGGCCTGAAAGGAAGCTTTCCCTTTTGCCCAAAAAAGTTAACACACAACCTTCGTGTCTCTATGGTAATGGTTGCCCATTTTTTGGGGGCAGTCTGTCCTCCACCTGCACCAGAAGGAACAAAAGCCTTTTACTTTCTGCAATTATAGGTAGGAAAAGCAGCAGCTTAGGGGCAGCGTATAGCTTGCAAAAACCATCAACAAAGTAAACGACTTTTCATATATATCATGTCTTGGGTAATCATGAACAGCCCTTAAAGGAAGTAATCGATACCAGGAAATGCCATAGCAATCACTACAATGAATCACCATAATGAATCTGCAAACTGGGGCAAACTAATAATTCTTAGGGAACTTGCTCAAACAGTTAGATGATGATTCTGTTAGCAGCCAAAGAGTTTTGCAAAGCACAATAATGGTCACTGGTTCGTATTATTTGCAAGTGGTCCATCTAATGAATCCACTAAGTTAGGGAGGATAGGGAAAGATTGGACACTTTGAGATGATAAATAAACAACCTTAATTTGTAACTTCTGTGAGCCGAATAAAGGCGGGGACGAGTTAGCATGATTGAACCCACCAGCAGCCGGAAACCTTTCATGGGCTTAACCTTATGGATATATCATTGAGATGCCAATAATTCTCCATATCCAGATTCACAGTTATGGAGATTAACCCTAATGATTAATCATGCAGATTTTGATGTCATTCTATATTCTATCTCAACAGTGAAAAAAGGTCGAATTCATGACTGGTATGCAGTAAGGGACAAGTAACATAGGTGGACGGCATTATTGCCAATTTTGACAGATACGCGGACATGGGAAAGAAAAAGAAAAAAGCTCGAAACTTTGCTTATCAAACGCTAGTGATTGATGGGAAAAAAAAAATTTTAAAAAAGCTACCCTCTAGCATTCTCGGTCAGTGCTTCACTAGACAAAGAGTAGGTACAAATTCGTCAAGGAGTGCTTAAATTAACATGAAAATGAACACAACCCAAAATAATTAATCAGTTGTGGGGCCGTACCTAATCACCATTATATTGGGAGAGAGATGCAACCTTGATCCCAAGAGAATATGCAGCAGAAAGAACCCTGCAGTCTCCATTCCTCAATCCTCCCCTGAAAACCAAAAGAAAGCCTCACTAGCATCAGAGCCACTGAACCATGAAGCCAACCAAGCTCAGGCTTCAATCGGTGGCTGCATTCATTTGCTTCTGCGCCGCTTACGTGGCAGCAGCCGAAGCAACGATTCAGAACTCTGCAACTAAGAAGACGTACATAATCCACATGGACAAATCCACCATGCCCGAAACCTTCGACGACGACCACCACGAACAATGGTATGGTTCATCCCTCAAAACAGCATCAGAATCAGCCGACATGCTCTACACTTACAGCACACTCATCCACGGATTCTCCACGAGGCTCTCAGCAGAGGAAGCAGAGTCGCTCGAGAAACAGCCCGGAGTGCTCTCCGTCACGCCCGAAACCATCTATGAGCTCCACACGACTCGAACCCCGAAATTCCTCGGGCTCGAACAGAGCGAAGCCCTCCCTCTCCTCCCCGCCTCAGAATCGGTGAGCGAGGTGATCGTCGGAGTGCTCGACACCGGAGCATGGCCGGAGCTCGAGAGCTTCAACGACAAGGGGCTCGGCCCTGTTCCCAGCAGCTGGAAAGGAACCTGCGAAGTAGGGAAGAACTTCGACTCAACGAAATGTAACAAGAAATTAATCGGAGCGAGGTATTTTTTGAAAGGGTACGAAGCATCCTTCGGACCTGTTGATGAAACCGTGGAATCCAAGTCACCGAGAGACGACGACGGCCACGGAAGCCACACGTCGACCACCACGGCCGGTTCGGTCGTGTCCGGAGCCAACCTGTTCGGTTTCGCGTCCGGTTCGGCTCGCGGGATGGCCCCGCAGGCTCGGGTGGCCATCTACAAAGTGTGCTGGCTCGGCGGGTGCTTCGGGTCCGATATCTTGGCCGCCATGGAGAAAGCCGTGGAAGACGGCGTCCACGTGATGTCCATGTCCATCGGCGGCGGGGTATCGGATTACTACAGGGACACGGTAGCGATCGGAGCTTTCTCTGCTGCTGCTGGCGGGGTCTTCGTCTCATGCTCTGCGGGGAACGGAGGACCGAGTCAGGGCAGTCTGTCGAACGTCGCCCCCTGGATAACCACCGTGGGAGCTGGCACACTGGACCGGAGCTTCCCCGCTTACGTCAGCCTGGGAAACGGGAGGAACTTCACCGGGACGTCGCTCTACAGCGGGAAGCCGCTGACGAACATGCTGGTCCCGTTGGTCAACGCGGTCAACGCGAGCGATGATTCGTCGTCGTCGGGGAATTTGTGCTTGTCGGACAGTTTGGTGGCGGAGAAGGTCGCCGGGAAGATTGTGATTTGTGACCGTGGAGGGAGCAGCAGAGTTCAGAAGGGTCTGGAGGTGAAGAGAGCCGGCGGGGTAGGAATGATTCTGGCGAACACAGAGTTGAACGGTGAGGAGCTGGTTGCTGACGCCCACCTCCTGCCATCATCCGCCGTGGGGGAGAAATCCGGCGACGAGATCAAAGCCTACGCTGCTTCCGATCCCAAGGCCACGGCCACGATCGTCTCCGGCGGGACGCACGTTGGGGTCGAGCCGTCTCCGGTGGTGGCAGCGTTCAGCTCCAGAGGTCCCAACCTGGTGACTCCGGAGATCCTGAAGCCTGATGTAATAGGGCCAGGGGTTAACATCCTGGCCGGTTGGACTGGCGCGATCGGTCCGTCCGGACTGGCCAACGACACGAGGAATGTGAGCTTCAACATCATTTCAGGAACTTCCATGTCTTGCCCACATGTGAGCGGCCTGGCCGCTCTGATCAAGGCAGCTCACCAGGACTGGAGCCCTGCGGCCATCCGGTCCGCCCTCATGACCACAGCTTACACGGCTTACAAAACTGGGTCGATCATCCAGGACCTGGCCACGGGTCGAGCGGCCACGCCATTCGATTATGGAGCTGGACATGTGAACCCGATTGCAGCCCTCGACCCCGGCCTGGTCTACGATGCAACGGCAGAGGACTATTTCGCGTTCCTCTGTGCTCTGAACTACACGTCGGAGCTGATCAAACGGGCGACGAATAAAGCATTTACTTGCGACTCAAGCAAGAAGTACAATCTGGGCGATCTTAACTACCCGTCTTTCTCTCTCGCCCTCGACACAGCTTCGGGCATAGGAGGTGGAAATGGGGGTGCGGCCACTGTGGTCAAGTACAGCCGGACGTTGACCAATGTGGGGTCCCCGGGGACGTACAAGGTGGAATTGGCTTCGGAGAATCGGGCCGTGAAGATGTCAGTTGAGCCCTCGACCCTGACCTTCAGCCAAGAGAAGGAGAAGAAGAGTTACACGGTGACGTTTACTGCAACCTCGATGCCTTCAGGGACAACCAGCTTTGCTCATCTGGAATGGTCGGATGGAAAGCATGTCGTTCACAGTCCAATAGCTTTCAGCTGGGTATAAGCAAAATGATATTCAGGGTGATAACGAATAAGTACAAATATTACTGTTCATAGGGAGTGCTAAGTGCCAGAATGTTTACTTGTTAAGAATTTCCCTTCACCATTCCATCCCTTCTTGTTGTGTTTGTAGTTTCCTGTGCGAGACTACTAGGACAGAGAAGACAGGTTTTCAATAATTGTACAGAAAACCCATAATAGTAATCACATGTGCAAATCAAGGTGCGTCTGTTATTGTGCCTTGTTAACAGAACAAGCCTGTAATGGAATGCCTGATGGCTGATAAACAAGAGCCACCGAATAACCTCATCAAGTTGGCAATTGGGCAAAGCCGCTTCCCAATTGCAGCAGCCCACAAGCAAGTTCAAAGGGCTACAGCCACTTCATTTCAACTAATAAAATGGAAATGACATTAGGAAATGGGCTTCCATCATAGATTTGAGCAGCAATATGCTCCGTGACCAAGGAAGCACCAAGGCCTACCCTATTATGTTAGCCACACCATAGTTCTAACAGCTTATTGGCTCTTCCCACCTTTTAGTCTTCTTGGGGATCCACCTCTACACCTGAGACTAGGGTCCATTACATTTGCCAATACCAAGTGTTACAGGGAAGGTAAAAAGGTATGAGCACAGTATGTTGCGTGGGAAAGCATCTACCAAAGACAATGAAATGTGCAATGTTGCTTCAAAGATCAACGTCGAAATCCTGTATTCAACAGTTCATAAGCTCTGTGCAAGGAATTTGGTAGTGGAGTTTTCTGCTAATGAGAGAAGTGGGTTTGCATGAATGTGGATATGGAAAAAACGCAAGAATAATCAAGGATTATCTCCCTAAGACTCCACCAGATGCCAGCTAACTAATCTTACCACCAGTGAGGCATTCACTCACTGGATATTGTTAGCTAAAACACAAGCAGGTATTACAGCAAGCAATAATCGAATGTTGCGGCCGACTTTTGATTCAGTTTTTCCATAGTCAGCCTAATTCCAATTCTTATCAAGTGTCCACCTACTGATGATTCAAGACATTAGTCTAAAAATCATAACTAGGCTGATCCATGTGCAATCTCAGAGAATCAATGATCAACTAACAATCGAAGAAGACACAAGCAGAAGAAACAACCATGTTTAATTATAAGAATCTCTCAATAATTCAGATTTTAGATAATAGTCTTTCAGAATCCTGTGAAGACTGACAAACATGGAGGTAGCAGGTATCAAGCTGCCAATACTTGTGTCTCACTCCTTCCCAAACATCTTCGGCAAAGCATTCCTTAACAGGAAAGGGAATCAACTGCGTCGAGTACCCCAGATTCTCGCACTCTAGCGAAACTAAATTACAGTAAACTATATAGAAGAATGCATTGCCTATTTACCTCCACATAGCCCATTGAAGAACGAATAAATCCCCTCCAGGTCTCAACAACTTGGGCAGATGTTGATGGAACTCCCTCAAATCTTTATAATACTCCCCATAAGTGTCAAAGAAAATACCTGAAAAAGCAACTTAATCAATTCCAGTATCACACAACCCATCAATCTGCAAAAAGGACAATTGAATCCATGATTTACCATCACAAGTTCCAACGACCAAACACGATCTTGACTTTCTCGTTCTCAGCTCAGCCACTACGAACCATCCGGTCATGAACTTCTTGATGTGCCTCGACAATGGTGTGTAAAGTAGGGGTGTATTGTTGAATGGCAGTGTCCACAAGCCCCATCAAATCCTATGTCACCACCTCCTGAACATACAGTTTCTGTATGTGTTTATATTAGAGGTTTCTCCCAAGCCATCATAACACCTTTACAATGGGATTCCAACAGCTTATCTTAGCTAAAATTAACCCTATCTTCTAACAATAATCCCCATTAGAGTTGGTTGTTGTTCTCATTTGCACTCCTCGCAATAGTTCCAAAAATCAATTCAGCTTGGATTCCTGTATGCAACAAAAACAACTTAAAATGGCCAGTTCTAGCTATATTCTTACAGCCATAAACACTTTGTACAACAGATTTGATCAATGTTCAAGAAGACGCTAGGCGCTATCTAGGCGAGGAGGCACCGCCCAGCGCCCAGGCTGATTAGTCGTTGCCTAGGCGAGATTAAACGTTGAAAAAAAATATGATAGATAAGCAATATTCCACAAAAACCCAAGTCACCATATCATTATTCATCCATTCATATACACATACAATCCTTTTCTACAATCCTAAACATCCCAAGTTGCCAACCATGAGGAGGGATCTCACTGCTGGTCGATGAGGGGGAGCGGTTGGTCGAATGGAAATGAGAAATAAAACAGAGTTTGAGATTTTCACTAAAAGGCTACACTTTCCCCCTTTATTAGTTGTTCTGGGCGTCGCCCACTAGAGTGAAAACGCGACTCCGAGTGCCTAGGTGCCTAGATCAATCGCCCAGGGCTAGACGGGACGATTTCCTCCTGCCCAGCTATTAATCGCGCCTAGGCGAGAGATTAATCGTGTCTTCTTGAACACTGGATTTGATGAATTTGGACTTCCGGCAAGGGGGAAATGGCGGATTCCAACAGTCAAACATAAACAATTCAATGCGAAAGCTAGAGGAGAGAGTTAGCGAGGGACAATGTCATCAATACCAGAATTGAGGATGATATCGAATGCTTCCTGGTTGCCGGCATCCATAGCGAAGTTGCCAGCGGAGTGATTAGAAGCGGAAAGAGCGTTCCAACTTCCAAGGAGAGACAGCTTCGAGAAGGGAATTGACGACGTCGCCATGGCCATGCTTAGCAGCGTGCATCGGTCGGGGTAAGGCCATCGCAGTCGAATTCGGAGGCGTCGGCTCCGGAATCAATGAGCGCGATTTCAACTTCAACGGACCGGTCTAGTTTAACTTCATATGAAAACGGTGTCAAATCTACAACTGAAAATTGGATTAGATTGAAAACGGTTTCATCCATGATCGGATTGGATTGATAATGGTTTGATACAGTCGGGTTAAACTCGGTTTTGCCATATTTAGGGTTAATTACATGGTTGGTCACTGAGATTACAAAAAACGTTTATGTTTGGTCACTGAAAATATTTAAATCCAATCTTGGTCACTCAAATTAGTTAAATGGTTCAAGTTTGGTCACTCTCCGTCCAACTCCGTTAAATTTGTCTGATGTGGCAGTCAACACTCAAAGTTGACTGTTAACTCGGTGACGTGGCAATTAAAAAATAATAAATAAAATAAATTTTAATCTTCTACCATTTCCAACTCATTTTCACAATAAAATAAAATAAAAAAATTATTATAATCACAAATTGAAAGAGTAGCTTCCTCCTCCACCACCACATCCCTTCCCGCAACCATATCAGCTCCCAATTCCTCTGTCGCCAGCAGCTTGTGGAGGTAGGATGAATGGCAGAGTTTTTGGACGTACGCTGGGTAATAAGGGGACGGAACGAGAAAAGCATCGCCGGCGTTAGCGAGGCAGAAGGTGATGAGCTCGTTGGCTCCCGTCGCGCCGCCGCCCATCACGATCCTCTCCGGATCTAACATCACCTTCTTCCCCCTCGCTCGCTCCATAAACAGCGCATGTCTCTGTAGTGCTTTTCGTCGGAAGCAGAGGAATTGGCGAGATCCGAATGAAGTTGGATCCGGGCTGGGTCGTGGGCCGGGGCTGGGATCTTGGGGGTGGAGATGTTGGACATGGACGGCTTTCTCTGCCTCAGAGTGCTGTGTTAAACGTAATCACAAGAATGCAAACGACACCAGATTTACGTGGTATCCTCAACGAATATCGTTGAGACTAATCCACGGAGAGGAGCAACCTCTCAGAGTCTATGTTATAGAGATATAGCCGAAAATCTTAGGTTACAGCAGAGGAGGCTTTTCCACATATATACCCAGCCCCCTAACCCTACTTAGGCTAACGTAATTAAACACTAAACAGGTTAATTACATTTCGCTACTTGAACTTCTAACACCCTCCCTCAAATTGATGGTGCTGGCGCAACATCAATTTGTGTGCGAGAAACCAATGACGAGAAGTAGCAATAGCCTTGGTTAACAAATCTGCCGTCTGATCTTCAGAGGTAATATAGGCTAAAGCCAGCTGACCCTCGGTAACTAGTTGACGAATGTAGTGAACATGAACTTCTATATGCTTAGTGCGATCATGGAGAACGGGATTGGTGGCAATCCGAATGGCACTGGTATTATCTGCATATAGACGCATAGGAGATGGACAAGTGACTCCAAAGTCCTCTAGTAAGCGCCGAATCCACACTAGCTCAGATGTGACCTCAGACATCGAGCGATACTCTGCTTCGGTAGAAGATTTTGCCACCCGATCCTGCTTCTTACAACGCCAAGAAATAAAGGAGGACCCAAGTTTGACACACCACCCAGACGTAGAACGACGTGTGTCCAAACACCCTGCATAATCTGCATCCGCATATGCCTCAAGCACAGACTCACTAGTAGCCGGAAAGAAAAGACCAACCTCCTGAGTACCGCGAAGATAACGGAGAATCCGCATGACTGCAACGAGATGAGAGGAACGAGGAGCCGCCATAAATTGACTAACCACCTGAACAGCATACGAAATATCAGGACGAGTGTGAGTCAAGTAAATTAAACTCCCAACAATACTGCGATATGTAGACCCATCAGGTAAGAGTTCCCCATCATCCAGGCGCAGTTTCAGATGTTGTTCCATTGGCGTCGGACATGGTATACATGTATCCATGTTCGCAGTCTCAAGAAGATCCATAATATATTTCTGTTGACCAACAAACAGACCTACAGAAGAACGATGGACTTCAAGCCCCAAAAAATAGGACAGATCGCCCAATTCCTTGAGATTAAAGGCATCTCGAAGAGTTTGAGTAAGAAACTGAATTCCCTGAATATCATCTCCACTAATCACCATGTCGTCAACATAAATAAGTAACACAGTCAACCCATGAGCCGTACGACGAAGAAACAAAGATGGATCATTGTCACTCTGACGAAAGCCAGCCTGCAGAATAGTACCTTGAAATTTCTCGAACCAGGCACGGGGGGCTTGTTTCAAACCATATAACGATCGGCGAAGTAAACAGACCTTAGATTTATCTCCTTTAGCATAACCTGGAGGACATTCCATATAGATCGTCTCCTTTAAATCACCATGCAGGAACGCATTTTTGACATCCAACTGTTTCAAACTCCATCCCTTCATTGCCGCCACGGCTAGCAATGTCCGAACCGTCTGCATTTTAGCTACAGGCGCAAATGTCTCCTCATAGTCAATGCCGAATTCCTGCTTGAAACCTTGAGCCACTACACGAGCACGATATCGCTCAATCGAACCATCCGGGTGCATCTTAATTGTGTACACCCACTTGGAGCCAATCACAGACATGTCCGGACGACGATCAACAATATCCCATGTATGGGATGCCTCCAAGGCCTGAGTCTCAACAGCCATGGCATCATCCCAGTTCTTGTCTCCATGAGCCTGCTTATACGTAGGTGGAACAAAAAGTGGAGAAGTAGAGTAAGTGACAAAATCAGAGAGATGCAAGGGGCGTTGACCTTTGGTGGCCCGGAGTGAGCGTTGCGGACCAGGAGCAGGATCGGGGGAGGGCGGCGGGGACTCCGAGATCGCCCGAGAAGAACCCGAGCTGGAGTGAGGGGAAGAATCTGCCCTCAATGATGGTGAGGAGTCCGACCCACTAGAGGAAGCCAAGGAACTGGTGGAAGACTCATTAGTCAATATATCCGTGGAAATGGATCCATCCACAGAGGTATCATGATCATTATCATCTGGTTGGGAAGCATCAGTAGGCTCAGCAAATAGAAGTTGAGGGCGAAGAAAATTGACCTCTTTCTTGACCGCAGAGCACTTCTCCGCATAATAAGACATATGTTCTAAGAAGGCGACATGACAAGAGATTCGAATACGCCGATTCACCACATCGTAACAGACGTACCCCTTGTGTTTGTCACTGTAACCAACAAACACACACTTCGTTGCTTTGGGACTAAGTTTGTGTCTCTCCCGCTTCGGAAGAAGCACATAACAAATACACCCAAACACACGGAGCCACGCATAGTCAGGCTTGCGCTGATACAAAGCTTCATACGGACTGCGTTGGGCGAGCACAAGGGTGAGCTGCCGGTTAATTAAGTACACCACAGTGTGTACTGCTTCAACCCAGAATGTCGTAGGAATGTTAGACTGGAAAAGAAGGGCCCGAGTTAATTCTAAGACATGTCGATGCTTTCTCTCAACCAACCCATTTTGCTGGGACACGCCAGGACAAGACTGTTGAGGAAGAATCCCGTGCGCTTTAAAAAACGCTTGCAACGGTCCAGATGAGAATTCCCTCCAGGATCAGATCGAATCACCTTTACTGTCTTCCCAAATTGGGTTTGAATCATCTGAATAAACTCTTTAGCTATCTCAAGAAGATCTGACTTCTGACGGAGAAAATATACCCAAGTAAAACGAGTAGTCTGATCGATAAATAGAGCAAAGTATCTAAATCCCACACGAGAAGTAACAGTAGATGGACCCCACAAATCTGTGTGAACCAACTCAAATGGCTCAGAATAAGTCGTAGTACTCGAACTAAAAGAGTGCTGAGAAAGTTTTGCCTCCAAACAATGAGTACAAGGCTGAGAAGAATCAGAAACAAAAGTGCCCGACAAAAGTTTATTCTTAAACATCTCTAGTAACCGAGCCGAGTGGGGATGGCCCAAACGTCGATGCCATAAATCCCAATTTGACAAATTAACAGAAAACCCAACAGTCTGAGCTGTTTAATTACATTTTGCTACTTGAACTTCTAACATGCTGCTGCAGCTGGAAGAAGGAGAGTGAGACAGCGAAACAGAGGGAGCCTGCAACTTGCTGCTGTTATTGCTCAGCTGGGTGGTTTCTTGCTCTGTTTTGACAGTTGAATTCAAAGGGGTTTGGTGTTGTTGGAAGTGTGAGATGAAGAAATCCATGGAAGGGAAGTCGGTTAGGAGCTGTTGCCTGATGAAATCCAGAGTCCAAGCTTCTTGGTCTGCAGGGAAAGCCATCTTGATTTGATTTGTTGTTTTCAACAGTGTTGAGAAACTCTCAAGTCCTCAAGGTTGGAAGGGTTTTGAGTGGAAATTAAGGACGGAGTGGAGTGTTGAAAGTTTATATAAAGAGAGGGTTGGACATGGATGATGCTCCATTTAAATCTCCCTCTTGTGAATCATTTGGGTCGTCTTCTTTATGGAGCGAGCAGAGGAGGAAGCTACTCTTTCAATTTGTGATTATAATAGTTTTTTTATTTTTTTATTTTACTTTATTGTAAAAATGAGTTGGAAATGGTAGAAGATTAAATTCTATTTTATTTATTAATTTTTAATTGCCACGTCACCGAGTTAACGGTCAACTTTGAGGGTTGACTGCCACATCAGATAAATTTAACGGAGTTGGACGGAGAGTGACCAAACTTGAACCATTTAACTAATTTGAGTGACCAAGATTGGATTTAAATATTTTCAGTGACCAAACATGAACGTTTTTTGTAATCTCAGTGACCAACCATACAATTAACCCGCCATATTTATAATAAAATTGGACTGGGTTGAACACGATTTCAACTGTGACCAGATTGAATTGAAAATGGTCCGAATAGCTCTGGTTTAACCCAATTTTCATATGAGAATTGTGTCAGATCTACAATTGAAAATTAGAACAGCTGAAAAGAGCTTCAACCGTTATTGAATTAGATTAAAAATAATTTGATCTGGTGTTAACCTCAAAATCGAAAAGAGACCATTCCCAAATGGTCACAGTAAATCAAAATATAATAAAAATAAAATTTTATCTCATTTGTGATGAAGGTAGGGCAGAGAGCAACGAGCAGACCGTGGTGGTTGGTCGTAGCCGGTGGAAAGAAAACTAGACACTAGGGATATTGTAGGTATAATTTGTTAATGGTCCAAAAAGAAGCATTTAACCTTATGCTTAGACATGCCTAGCCATTAGGA